TCCAGCTAGAATGAGCATTGATATTGTTTTGCGCCTATAGTATGACTGTGGAATGGAGGCATAAACCCATGAATGGAGCTTAATTGCGATTGTACATGTCGCTCAGATTTAAGTGCAGTGCACAGAGGTGACAAAATGGCAATATGAGCAAATGTGGCAACAAACTGGTGATCTAAGTGTTATATATTTATGGTATAAATATAAAATATGAAAGAAATAATCAAATTAGATAAAGTGCCAAAGTGGTGGGAAATGTGACATTTGTGTGGGACGTCAGGGGTTCGAATCACTCCCCACGCAAATATTAAAATGTCTTGATTTGGGCCTTGGGGCCTTTTGGGCTTCCTTGACTAAAATAAATATTTTTTTTCTTCATTATTTAATGGGTAAAACTAGCCAGTATTTTATGACTGTTTGTTTTGTAACAACCCACTAACTGCCATTAAAACATCCACTACTCAGTTATTAAAATTCTGCATTAACATGGTGAAAACTGTTACTACCATCTTGCCTATATAAACCCATATCTTGCTTTGGGAAAAGACACACAAATAGAAAATAGAATCAATCACTCTTTTCATATTGTGAATTTCTTATATTCGGGTTTTTATACCTATTCTGGAGTAGTGGTGAAGGAGATTCCTTTGGTTGTGGTGGTGGTAGTGGTGGTAGTAGTAGTAGTAGTGGCGATGTGGCATAGGGAGTGTATGATGATGATCGTGAATCATAATTTGTTCACATGTCATAGATTAATATTCACTGGTCACAAATCAAATAGAACTCATCATACGTTGTTCACAGCTTACACTTCGTATTGTATCGGTCATTAATCAATGTTAATAGGTCACATGTCAAAATCAATTGGTCATAGATTAATGTTAATAGGTCACCGTACGTAGATCGTAGATCAATGTCATAGGTCACTATTTGTACATTATAGATCAGTGTCTTATAGATCAATAAAAATTGGTCACAAGTCAATGTTCAAAAGTCACAAATCACTAATTTATGTATACATGCCACACTTTATTAGTCACATATTATATTGTATAGGTCACAAATCAATATCAATATATCACATATCGATATTAATTGGTCACACATCAGATGTCACATGTTTTTGTGCATTGATAACATGACACAGATTCAAATTCACAAGTTACAATTCATATGCCACAGATCACATGTAACAATTCACGGGTCACAGGCCATTTTGCATAGATAATAGATCAATGTCTAAAGGTCACATATCAAAGAGAATTGGTCATAGGTCATTGGATCAATATCACAAATAATAAATCAATGTCCAAAGGTCATAAATCAAAGATAATGGATCTTGAGCTATTGATCAACATCACAGGTAGCAATATACATATAAGCACCTCGAAAGCCCAAGCCGGCTCTCCTTGAGGCTCGGGCCAAGCCCCATTTCGAGATTTCGAGCCGAGCCCGAGTCAGCTTGTGTGACTCGTCGGCTCGAGTTCGGGCCTTAGTTAAAAAAAGAACAGAAATAAGGCGGCTACCTTAAAGTCCCATATAAAAAAAAAAAAAAAAAAAAAAAGAGAGAGAGAGAGAGAAAAAATCGAGCAAGCCCGACTCGACTCGCTGAGGCCCAAGCAGAAACCTTATTTTTTTGCCAAGCTTTTGCTCGACTCGGCTCGGTTCGGGCTCGAAAAAAGCCCGTTTGATTTTACTCGAGCTGAGTTCGAGCCATGAGTTTGTGCGACAATTATCAGTTCTGATTTTGATTCGATTCTTCCATGACAATTTTTAATTAAAAAAAAAAAAAAGGTGAGTTAACAATTCAAATTATCCTCTCAATGTTCTCAATATCTAGGCACAAATTGAATAAATAAAACATGTAATCAATTACGTATTTTAACACTTTCTCAATCCATTGCAAAATATGTCACCAAATATTTTCAATATTTAGTAAATAGGTTTCAATAACTGGGAATATTTAGTAAGGAAGTATTAGATTATGCAAAAATGCTAAAAATAATATAAATCCATTCATCTGAAAACAGCACAACGATCAACATGTCGATTTTTCTTTTCTTTGCATCCCATCAATTCCTTTGCAATCACGCAATGGAAACAGGGCAAGTTGACAGATTTTAAATCCCGACTGACGTGGCAGTAAAAAAAAAAAAAAAAAAAAAAAAAACAAAATGCAAAATTGAAACCCAAATAAAATCTCCAAAATTAGTGGCTTTTCTCCTCAATAGGCGAACCCCAAAAACCGAGACAAGTACCCAAGCCTCATCGTCTCCGGTACTGTCGACTCTCCAACAACAATTCCAAATGGGGTTTGGCCATCTCCCTCATCTCCATTTCTGACAACGGTTGGAACGGAGGTCGTCATCTCTCAGTATTGAAGTTCCACCGGATCCCGATTTTCGTCGACAGCAAAGTGGGTCTCCTCTGCCTTACGCCATTTCAATATAGCTTTACCGTGGAAGCATCTGTAGTGAAGTCACCTTGTTGATTTAGTTTTTCTTTATGTCATATTTCATTCGATACTAGCTCGTCGTTTTGTAAATTTCGTTTACTAGTTTTCTTTATGTCATAGTTCATCTGATAGAATTTTTAATCCAAACTTAAACTGCTGAAAAGGACTTCAACATGGATATATTGGAGCTTGCAAGAGGAAACCGAAGTAACATTTGTTCATCTACACATTATCCTTGAATTTTATGAATAAAATTAACATTACCTATTTTCTGTAAGACACTGTTTAAAATAATTACACTGGGTGTTAGTCTTCCAAATAACACGAGAAAATTCTACATTATAAATTTGCCACATAACTTGTGATTGCCCATTGCATTAGGAAGTTTAGAGAAAAAAACTTTGCTTATAATTCTATATAAACAGATGGGTATCTATCAAATTTTTCAGTTAAGTTTTATTTATTAGTTAAGAGTAGAGGTGGGCACAACCGAACCGAACCGACCCAAACCAAAATTTTCGAGTATCTAGTAAATGGAATCGTCGAGTCTAAATATAATTATGAAACCGTTCGAGTTCGGTTCTGTTCGATTCTGTACTATAATTAAATTTTTTAACATTTATAATAACATTATATAAATACAACTAATGACACATTCAATGGTTTTGGAATGTCAGAAATTGGTAGACTACCTTGTTCAAATGATCGCTACGGTCAAAGTTTCGGTCGGCGAACGTCACAACTTCGATCAGAGGTCACAGCGTCGACCGACGATTGTATAAGTTTTGGAATGTCAACGAGGCTGCGAGAGTGAGTACGAGAGTCGAGACAGAGTTATGCACTTTAGTGTAGGTGTTTAGGGTTATTTAGTAGATTGAGTCTTGTTGGGCTAGAAAATGAGACAATAAAATGGGTAATTGGGTCAAAAATTAAAAAATTAGAAATGAAACAAATTATTTAGCCAAAAATTTGAATTTAGAAATTGTTAATTTGTTTAGAAAAAATTAAAATTAAAATAATTTGATTTATTCAATATAAAAAAAATTAAAAAGATTCGGTTCTTCGGTTTTTGGTTTAGAACCGAAAAACCAACCGTACCCGTCGGTTATCAATTCAGATACTCGTTCGAGTATTTAATTTGACAAGAACCGTCAGGTTCGGTTCAGTTCTGTTCGGGTTCGATTCGATCGGTTCGACTCGAGAGATTTGCCCAGCCCTAATTAAAAGGAAAAAATGATAGCAAGCATTGGTCTTTTTTATTAAGGTTTCACTTTCTGTCAATATTTTGATATGTTGATTAGATGTTAGATGCAATTATTTTTTTTTTCTCCACCTTTTGAGGTGAAGAATGTCTCAACTTTCCCCAGACAAAGTAGCCATTTATTTTCAGAATGTCTCAACAGTATCCCATGCCACTTATTTTGCATCGTACATTTATTACATGACCACTCTATGAGATTTCTATTGTGGTTTCATTAGTTTTTATAGTGACATTGAATTAATTTGATTTAACCGTGCGGTTTATTTCTATCGTAGAATGGGCGGAAGAAATACTGGCATATGTCATAGTTGTAGAGCTAAGGATTATTTCTTTGCCGAATGGCCAAGGAAACGACGATGCCCGAAATGCAAGCATGGATTTGAGAAGTGTTTCGAGGTGGAGAAGTAGACAGCAAATAAATGGCGATTATTTCTTTGTTGCAGCGAGAATTGCGGATTTTGGGATTGGTTGTCAAAGAAGAATCAAGCTGCCAACTGTCCAACAATAACGCTTCAATAGTGAACCTTTCAACGAACAAAAACATTGAAGAAATCTCGCAAAAGTTCGAATCTCGAGTTCACGTCAACGATGAAGAAGATCTACACATTTCGGATGAATGAGAAAATATTCAAGGCAAGTCGTAGCGCGGAAGAGAATTCAAAAGGGAAGCAATCGAGCTCTATTGATTGAGTTGGATTAGGAACGTGTAATATTTTGAAGACCGGATTGCCACTATTGTGCTCAATGAAGAATTACCATGTATAGTTGAAATTGTAATTGCATTTTAGTCTTCTAAGTCTTCTATGAAATCATCCAGATGCATTTCACAACTTTAAACTACATGCATTTTGAAGACCGGATTGATAGTGTATTCACATTTCACAAAAGTGTTATTTTAGCTTTGAGCAATTTAATTGAGCATTTGTGAAAATATATGTGTTGGATGAACATTTGATTAAAGGATTAACTGTCTTTGCTCGCTTCAATAATTGTGTGGTAGCATCAACTGTCTTGCTTTAAAAAAAAAGGTCTCAAGATTTCACTTGAAAACCAAAAATTTTCAGCATCAAAAATTTTTCTGGCAATGGCAACAAGTTGCATTATTGAGATAAAGATTTCTTAATTATGAAGCAGCATGCAACAAAGTCAATGTCATAAGGCTATCTTTTGTGTGAGCAATACCCTTGCAACCATACAAAATGATGAAGCAGCATACAACCACCAGGTTAATGCATTCTCACTTCACTATACACTTGAAAGTAATTAAGCTAATCTACTGTCATGAGCAACTACCAGAATAAGTATAATTATTTGATCCAGTGGTTACATAGAATTTTTCTGTGCCAAAAATAATCTGAAAATGTACCATTTCAATCTGATAATGCTCCAATACAAACCTAAAACTGACTTCATCAGTCTCTCCAAAATATGGTGTCATTTTACATAAATACAAGTCTCAAAAAACAATCTGAACAAAGGATTTATACAGTATCATGACATAGATTGGCAACCACGATGATTCACCCATTATAGCATAGTATCGATTCTCTTTCTTGTTAATACTTGAGCAGCAAAATATGGTACTAGCAAGCCATCATAAAGTTCTAATTACAATTATAATTCTCCACCTGAAAGGAAAAAAAAAAAAAAGAAAGACAAAAAAATAGAAAAAAGAAAAAACACATTAACATGAAGCATAGTTTGGAATCGATTAGGGAAACATAAATATTTGTCATCGTCTTTGTTTTATAATTGGTACCCGATACAAACCTGATCCTCCATGGGTTGATAAATGTGGATAATAGTGTGGCATTGGTTGACCTACAATAAATATGAAACCTATTAGTTGCATACATACATGAACTGGAAAGTTGAACTTAAAATATTGAACACGGTTTGTACCTTGCGAGCTATATACAACATTTGACGACGACGGAGGGATATAATTTGACAAGGGTAATATCCCGGCCAGCGATAACGCCGTCGTGATGGAATATTGTGAGAAGGGGAACGTTGTCAGCATCGAATATTGTAGATAAGATAGTGGTGGCTGCAATGAGTAATGCTATTGTTGAGCTTCCTGAGCATCTATCTGAGAGTGCTCTTGCATATGAGTATGTTGCGTGGTAATATTCTTTCGTTTACTTGCTGCCGAACGTCCCTGTTTGTGCAACGGAAGTTTTTAGAGTCCATATTTTTAAACACTGGAGATTTAAATTATGCGATTTATGTACCTTTGCTTTCTTTGAACTCGACTCCAATTGACCTTTTTTCCTAAGTTTTTTGGGTGCCCCCTTTCTACATGACGATTTTGGATCTCGTATGTTCACGCTGACATTATTCTGGGAATCAGTATGCTGGTCGGCTATCTCGATAGTATGCTGCAAAATCACATTACTTCCATTGCACGATCTTTTTGGCATCAATAATTCCTTACACTAAAGTTTAATTCAATCCACAACCGAGTGTAACTGTCCTTCATCATCAGCAGCCAGGTCTGCCAACTGAGCAAACTCGCGGCATATTTTGTCGTATCTCAACTGCTCGGGAGAATTAATTAAACCGCCATAGTTTACCGCAACCCTATTGTGTGCTCGGCTAACATCTCGTCTCCATCTCCGCAGTATGTACATGAAGTGACGTGACAGCACAACTAATCAATACTACAATCGTATGCCTACAAAGTACTCCTCGGAACTCGAACAAATGGCAGCTACAAACAATGTTACAATTCTTTTTCCTGAATGAGATGACGAATGTTTTTTCTTTCGTCGCCCATCGTATATAACATCCTCTCGTACCTCATATGTTGCGGACAAGTCTCCCTCCAAAGTGGATGGGATATCATAGTAAACCTTTCCCGTGAACTCATCCTGAGCTTCCTTGAATTTTGCTATCGTATAAACTGACTGAAATTGCATCTCCATTTCATACTGTGTTGCACCCGGTACCATTTGCGAAAATGACTTGAAATCAGCCTAGAACTCCTTCTCAACCTTATTCCACAGTGCTCGTTCATATTGTTTCACAAATTGCTTTAATGAGGTCTTCGAATGCAGGTTCCGTCGAAGAATACATTTATATTCTCACTTTTTTGTGTTGTTGACATACCTGCCCAGAACGTAGTCTTCAAAAAACAAGGAACCCAACGATTTCAGTTCTCATACAGGCCAAATAACCAATCATTATCTTACAAGCTAAACTGATCAATCATCAAAGCTCAACCCTCTTCAAACTCTTCAACAAGTTGCAAATTATAAACTAATACGTGTATGGCCCTAAATATCGAAGACTTGTCATTGTGGTACCCAAACTTTTCAGGCAACTTCTTTAAAATGTGCGATAAACACCATCTATGCCTCGTGTGTGGAAAAAATCTATACACTGTAGCCATGTCCTGAACAACCACACAAAAGTATCCGTGTTTTCATTCGACACCAAACCACAACCAAGCAAAGTTGATTGCCTGTGATGATTGACGCCAACAAATGGGACGAACGACATGTCATACTTATTTGTCAGTTAAGTGGTATCAAACGTAACAACATTGTCGAATTCCTTATAGGCTTGCCTACAACAATTATCAACCCAGAATACATTTTTCAGTCAGGAGTCATTGTCCAAATCTATGCTAAAGTAAAATTTCAGGCACTTTGCTTGCATCTTTGAAAAGCATGTTTGTATGGCTGTGACATCTCCTTCACCAAGTCGTAATCACCTAACCTGTTCAATATAATTTCGGCAATCCTTCTCAATGCAACTCATGTTCTCATAACCATCTGCTTCTACAACTGCAGAATTGAAACTTTTATACAATGAAATTCCTGCCAAATCATTGACTTTAAGCTTGTGTTTGACATCTGAACTCAATTCTCTGTAACATCAATATAACCTCGATTTTGACGGACTAGTTTCATGATTGTGGTCGAGGTAAACCTTGTTAATTCTCCATAACCCATGAATATTTGACGATGCAGAGATCCTAGCTTTGCACCCATCTTTACTGTCGGTTGTGGCTTCAAGGAACCGGTACAATTATCGATTCTTCGACCTTCATGACTACACGTCAAGGTCATGTATCTCAACTCTCCATCATCTCCCTTTTTCAAATTTTTCTTCTTAATTGGAAATCCAACAGCATAGGCATATTTTTTTGTAGAAGTCAACCATATCATTTAACTCCTTAAACTTCATACCCACCTCAGGCACAACCACACCATCTCCCCCCTGAGGTTTCACGATCCACGACATTAAAAGAGTTTGTAATATTCTCTTCATCTGATTCTACCAACACACCATCATGCTCCATTTGCAAATAATATAGTTTATCTGGCTGCAAAAGAATAAATGCTCACATTCAGGAATCCGTAGTCACTGTTAGATAAGTAGACAAAAACCTCAATCTTCCTAACAGTATACCCTAAGTCCGTAATTAATTTTATTAATAATTTCAAACATGTAACCAGAATTTATCATTATCTTAGGTACCATACACCGTCTAAATAGCTTTAAGGAATTTACCCATTACAAATTAAGTTTACCTGAACAGAGGAACTTGCTCAACTTAGGACGTAGATGGGGAAGCACAATTCAATATTGCTAGGCGACTCAACAACCGTCTTCGAAAATGTGGATTTATGCTCTTCGATGAGATCAAAGTGTTGTTCTTTATTGTCAAATTCCGGGAAATGTGGCAGAGATAAAGAAGTTTAACTACTGCCTCGGGTTCAATACAGCCGGTGAATCAACTACTACCTTCGAGTTCATGGTCGGAGTGCAAACTTTCCGGGAAAATTATGGCTGCGAAATTTGAGGAGGTTCTTACTGATTTCTAATGAAATTATGGCCGCGAAATTTGCAACAGTGGTTAGGTTAAGTGAATCTCTAGTTTCTCTGATTTCATCACGTGCCTGTCACGTGAAATTTTAAATCCCGCCATTTTTATTGTTTTTCAAGCCACGTCAGTCAGAAAATTCAAATCCTTGTTCGTAGGGTGTCAACGTTACCTGTGCGGGAAGCATTTTCCATTCCTTTGCCTCCCATCTAGTCATTGTGTCAGGATGAACAAATTGTATATGGGCCCGTTTGGTAGGGATTTTGAGAATTAATTTTTTGATCGTTAGAAGAAAAGTGGGGTCCACATGTGAGAGAAGAAGTCAAAAATTACGGCTTGAATAGTAAAATAACGGTCAAAAAATCAATTTTTTGGGGCAAAAAATCCCTACCAAACGGGACCTATATATCCTTGTTTGAGCCTTTTTTTGAAAAAATAAATTTTTAAACAGTGTTTTGACATTATTTTAACTACACATTCTTCAATAAAATAATGTTACAGGAAAATCTAAAATTTTTCCTTATTTTTTAACCACACATTTCAGATCATTATACTATTCAAAAATGCATTTTCTTGACAAAAATGGGGCTCAAACAAGGGCATATATTTCTAGTTCAATGACTAAAAACTATCCAAGATCTAGTCAATTCTCGATTCTATTTTTTATTTTTTGAAATCTTTTATGTTTAAAAGAAAAAAACGATAGTTTCATACTTAGCGCTTTTGTATGGGTTTGATTTCCGTTTGATAAAACTTTAGTTTAAAAAAAAAAAAATCTGAATGGATAATGCTTGTAGATTTTGTAAAATATGTGATTAAAATTAATATTTTACTTTTAAACGTAACATTTTAACAAAAAGAAAAGCGAAACCCCATAACTTAAATGTACTCTTCGTTTTTATTAGGTGCCCAATATGTGTCTCATTATTAGATTTGTCAACATGAACATGAGATTTTATTGCGTATTGAGTCGAACATTTAAAATTTTAGTTCAATCAACATTTTCTTAATAATTAAATATATAAATAAATCTAGCTAACTTTCTATACCTAATGATTAGATGGCATATTTTAGAGCATTTTCTATGCTAACGTGAATTGTGAAGAGAAAAGTGTCACGTTAATAAATTAGACATTCAAAAAAGTAAAATCTTCTCCAACACAATTTAAATTAGGCTATGTTTGATTGCTCCACTTTTTTCATGGATTCAATTTTTCAACTTTTGAGTGTTTGATTGTTCAAAATTTTCCCTAGATTTGAAATTCCTATTTTCTCGTCACGTCAACATTTTCCATGAAATCAAGGAATCGGAATTCTCACCAAAATGATGAAAATTGGAATTCTCGTTTACTATAGTGATTTTTTTTTTGCCTTTTTTGGTAATGGAAACAAATTCTAAAAATTATTGTTAATTTTTTTCCCTTTAATTGACAATTTTCATGTAAAACAAAGTCAAACGAACACAAAAAATAGATAATTTTCTTATTTATTATTTTTTTTTACAATAGAAATAAATTTCATCCCCAATACCAGTAAATTCAATCTCTTTAATTGACAATTTTCATGTAAAACAAGTCAAATGAACAACAAAAATCACTTTTATTTCAATATTTTCCACGTGAAAAATTATACCAGTCAAATACAATAATTTACAATTCCCAAAAAAATAATTTCTAAACAATTCAATTCCCTGAAATTCATTTTCTTTCCACCCAAATTCCATCTTTGCAATCAAATGGACCCTTAGACTCTTCATAGCTGACATGGCAAGAGAATTAAAAAAAAAAACACTGTGAAAGAAATTCTAGAGGCTATATTGGCTCGATAAATCAACAAAAATTAAGCTCATGTTTGACCCCATTTCTTAAAATTCAAATTTTCTCAAATTCATTTTTAGCATAATATATTTTTCTTAACTTTTCAACTACACATTTTTTTATTTTTATCAAAATTTACTAAAAAAATTGATTATTAGCAAAATCAAATGGAAAATTTTCTCTCTTTCTCTCTCCTGACGTTATTTTTTGTCTTCTGTTTATTATTTTTTTCTCATTCATATTAAGCATTCACTTGATAAAATTTGAGTTATAAACTGAAATTGTTGGAAGTAAAATCTTTCTATTTGTCTATCACGTAAACAAAAATCCATGTAATGCATTGAAGATACTTTCGAGACTTGCTTTGGCAAAGGTTTTGAAAAGTCATAAGCTATTTCTCAAATTAAGAAATTGTTTTGCAACTTATTTGAATAATTTTTTAAAAGTATTTTGTTTGACTAAATTTTTTTTTAGAGAAATCTAATTTAAAGTAACTTATCCAAGAAATTCTTTTATGAAAGCGGAAGTTATGCTAAACTAAACTTTAATCTTTTAAATCATAAGTCTAATATTACTCCCTCACCAATTGTCTAATCAAGTGAGTACTTGTTTGGCAAAGCATCCACTTGTTAAACACATACCACATATTCGATTCCCGAGACATGAAATTGGACTCTTTATAAACGTAGTGTATATACAACTCTTGTTCCCTGACCTGTTGGGACACATCCTGTGATTTACCTCCCTCACAAAGCTCTAGGGGCGGGACGATGGAGGCCTCAGGGTTGGGGATCAACCTCTTCTTTTTATTTATTTATTTATTAAATCACTTGAAAAAAATTAAGCTTTACCAATAATCCACCCTACTTAAACAAGTTCACCAATTGTCAAGCATTAGTGAATTCTAGCAAGGGAAAATTTGTGCGGTAAGCAAACTGTATTTCTCTCCTGCCGACAGAGTATGTACATTAAAAAGTGAGCGTGAGCCGTAAAATTGTAAGTAAAATATGTTTTATAGAAAATGACCCCTCACGACATTATTTACACCTGTTCGGTATAGCTTTTATTTTTTGTAGAAGAGTATTTGGAAGAAGTTATCGTAATTTTTATTTGAAAAATAATATTCAAAAGTACTTTCCATTTCGGAAGTGCTTTTTGAGAAAGTCACAATGAACCAATTTATTCTGAAAACTCTTTTAATTATCAAAAATATTTTAACAAAATTAGCCAAACGGATCCAAAATTAACTTTTGAGTCTCAAAAGCTTATTTTGACTTTTCAAAAGTCATGTCAAACGGATTTTATTAGTTACATGACACAAAATTGATGGTTGATGTTTATAAATAGGAATTAGGCCGGTCCCTGTTTAGGAAACCTTATGGTCCGCCCATTAATGCCACAACTCAATTACTATACAAAACTATGATTCAATTCATTAATGACCTAAAATATCAATGACCTTCTAATTATTAAATAATGCTCCTGACTACATGACACTATTTATACAGAGGCCTTACAGGACCCTCGCTGTAGAGGGCACGGCGGTGGATCTGACCAGCGTTAAAAAGCAAAAAAAGAAAAAATCGCATGGACCCATCCCTTCTGTCAGTCCTAGCAGTGGTCCTCTGCCCTGTACGTGAAGACAAACCCTTATTTTTCTCCTTTCTCAAAATCCAGTAAAACCAAAAGCAAATTTCAGTCTTTCTCCGGGCACCCTTCCAACACTCCGTGCACGGCAGGAGTGGAGCACACTCCATGCACGGAGTGTTAGAATTTTTTTTATTTCTCCTTTCTCAAAACTCCAATAAAAACCAAAGGCAAATTTCATCATTCTCCGGGCACCCTTCCAACACTGCAAAAATCCAAGCTACCAACACTATGCCCATCAAATGGTAACTCAATTTTTTTATAAATGAAAAAGTTGAGAAAAATCGAAAATCCCCCCCCCCCCTTTTCTATTGGTTACTTGCTTCATTTTTCTAATTCCATGCGTTCAATAATCTCAACAATACGTGTTGCTTGTGTAGGATTTTACACTGGCAGCCAAACGTAGGCACAATGGTCAACAGCCAAATCCTCGCTGAAGTTTCCCAGTGCGCTGAGGGCATCAATGGCGTCAAGGAAGGGTGCTGGAAAGCCACCATTAGCTTCTATAGAGCCATGACTAGAGGTATGTGTGTGTGGTTTCGTTCTTTATTTCTTAGCCGTTTGATGCCAGCTTCAAGAAACAATTGAATTCTTCATAGTAATTTCGTCTGTAGATCAAGCGAACGTCAATGAATTTCCGCGTGACTTTTTGGGGATTTCGCTGTCGGAGCTACCCAGTAAGTTCTACTTAGTAATTAGAGGGTAGCGACTTGTTTGGAAGCAGAGTCGAGTATTTAGATGATAATGGAAAAACTGCAGTCGAGTATTCAGTTTTGGACCGGTGGTGGCGACAGTTCTCATTGGCATTCTGGTGTTTGGGCTGAGCTTGACCAATGCAGACACAGATCCAAATGATGGTCAGCATTTTGAGCTTGCTTTTTCATAATCAATTTTTACTGAAACATATTTGCATGATTGTAGTGGATTTGGTGTTGTGTATGAGCAAATGTGTTATTTATTTATTTATTTATTTATTTATTTTTGTGGGGGGTAAGGGAATTTACAAGAGCAAGTATTGGCAGTGTACACTTTGATTGTTGAGTTTCTGGGTAGCACATAATTAGGTGAATTTATAAAGAATATTTAGTGGGTTAGGAAATTTGAAAGTCGAGTTTACTTCTGTTTTCTTAAGATATGGGTTTCTTAATGTTTTGTTGCGTTTATTTGTTCTTTAATCTTGTGGAACGTATATTTTGATTCAAATTTATTTTATTCATAATATCTTGAATGAACTTTCGGCAATTTGCTATATGAGTATTGGCAATTCATATCCGTGCTTAAGTTGAGAAAAACAAAACTTTAACCTACTCGAGTATATGCATATTCTTTATGATGCATCGGTGTATAGATTTGTTATAATCTCTCTAATAAATGTTGAAAAATTGAGCTGTAATCTCGACTCTATCAATTTGGATGTACAATCTCTGTTCTCAGGGCCTTGTATGGTGCTTTGAATTCTCCACAGCAACTTTCAAAATGGAGTGGGACTACCGGGGATCCTTGTGGAGAATCTTGGACGGGCATTACATGCTCAGCTCCAAAGTTACAGAAATGTGATTTCGCTCGAACCTTAATAGCATGTTCGATAGGGAATGTTGGATAGTAGTGGACTGTACTAGAAAAGAAGCTAAAATCAATTTTATTATTGATGTCCAGTCCTGTCAAATACTACATACCAAATATACACTTACTTCTTATGTTATTTTTAAAAGGTTAAACCCTAACCTTAAGGGTCCCCCACCACCCCTGTCCTGGAGTATCGTGAGGAAAGTAAATTGCATGTTATGCCTCTAAGGGTATAGGGTGGAAGGCTGCTTGTACACTTGCAATTACCCAAGAGCCAAATCCATATTTCAGGATTCGAACCTTTGACGTAGCAGTCTCAAGCAAAGCTGGATTTCTCCACCCTCCCCTTTTACCATTTGGAGATATGCCCTGGGGGGTACTTCTTATGTTATTTTTCCTACTATATAAAAAGGAGAATGTGAAATTAGTGTAGATATGAATAGTGAATTCTTCCATTTTAGGCCTTCGTTTATGCGTTGTTTCATTTTTTAGTAAGTTTTGTTTTAGTTATATCTCGATGAATTTAAATCAGATTTAAATTCCGTTTGTTGGTGAATAATCTTTAACATTAGGAATCTCGATTTCAGTCACTATCTTGATTTTTTTTTCATTTAAAAAAAAAAATCCTTCATCTCAAACATTAAGGTAATGAGTGAATCTAACATTGTAGCATTTTTTTTTTCATCGTAGAAAATCTCCAAATAACCTAATTTCCGACCATCCACATTCATCACCCAAAAGCCATGGAATTCTTCAAACACAATGTGATTACAAGAATCCAAACTACCCACCTAGTATTTTAATAAAAAAGACTCAAAATATCGTTTATAACTTCAATGAATTCTTGCAATCAAGTAATAGAAAGTCACAAAAAACAGACCCAAAATAAAAATTCAAAAGGGGGTTCAAAAATATCCATTAAACTTCGTAAATACTTTTTCTAAATTCTACACAATCCGTACTAATAATAACATAATAAATATAAAATTCGTGCAACGCACGAGACGAAGACTATATATTGAAAAGTCTCTAAATGGTACTTTAGCTTTTATTTCTTCGAGAGGCACATAAAGGGAAAGTTGGAGGCTTAACCTAGCTGCCCCTCTCCATAACCAAAATGTATGTACAAAGAAAATATTTTATAGACAAAAATAACGTTGATAAGTAACGTTTAAATAAATTTTGAAAATGACATTACTCATGTAATTTCCTCAAATTAATTTCACTAATTACTGTAAAACTTTTATCCACTTGCTTGTTCTAAAATTCAATCAAAATTGTTCACACGGGTTATGACTCAACCCAGTTAAGATAGAACGGATGAGCAATCGGGCCTTGTTTTGCAAATTTTGGGCTCAACAGCATGACTGTCCTCATTGTTGATCTGTGTGTCGTCATTGTTTCCGTGATTGGAAATGTAACTATTAGTCCCGGTTTAACATCCACTAAAGTGAGTTTTATTGGAGAAAAGCAGTTTTGGAAAAAAAAATTTGGATTTACATGTAAATATTTTATTGCGTGAATATGTGGTTGAAAATGAGTTTGAAATTTTTTTATTTTATTTTGTGGATGTCTGATAGGGGCTAAAGTGTGATGAAGATGTATTTTTTTGTGGTGCGGTATTTTGTACAAGTAAGATTGACACACAGTCGGGCATTTTATACTTCTTCTTTTCTATTAGTGTACATTTTTTACTTGAAGCACTCTAGATGTCGAGTTTTTACTTTTTATTAATGATGAATAATCATAATTCAAATTCTTGAGGGGACTCAACTTGACCTCTGTCTAAATTTACAGGAGAGAAAAAACTTACGGTGTCTAGAGATTGGTAGAATGACATAAAAGCTCAAAAATTACACATCATTTGATTTAGTCAAACTCCTAATGATCAAATGTAAAGTGGAGAGGGCTCCTGGATCCTTTCAAGAGATGGGGAGAACAAAATAAAAGTTCAAAGATTACGCTACACGTTGAGTATCATACTCCTTGTGATCATTCAAGGAGTTTAGTGTTTTTCGAGTTTCAGGTCCCTTTTGGACACACCACTTGAATGAGGTTTAGTAAATTTAAGCATGCTACATGTACCTCAAGGATTATATAATGACTTACATAATGTCATGTGATACTATATCATTGGACGATTTAAAACAGAATTAGTTTTTTCTTCCAATCATTTCCTTCCAACTCATCTTCTGGCACTATTTTTGGACAAAGTAGATTAATTCTAATAAATTTACTATAAAAGCTGAAGTTTGGGAAGTTCTTAATTTTGTTGCCTTCAAAAGCATCTTTTGATACATTCCAAGAAGAATTTATCTTGCATTTTCGTATTGTAATCCCATGTTTATTAATTAATTGTTGAACTAGACTTTTGTAACTTTCTACAATGTCATAAAACCACCATCCAGATGCTACTCAAAAGCACCAAATTCCGCAAATTCTTGTCATAATTCTCGGCAACTTGGCTGATCAAGCTGGCCACTAGTCTTTTTTTTTTTGTTTTTTGTTTTTTTATCGGTAAATGTGAAATTCAATTGATCAAAAATCATATACAAATACACCAAGCATACTCGGGCAAACAACATTCAAGTGAAGATTACAAGTACACCGGGCATATCCAGACAAATAAAATGAAAGATGTACAAATGATAATAGATATGGACTCAATGTTAAAGACTCAAAATGAATTAAAACATGTGGATACAAAGAAAACATGACTTTGTATATATATGTTTTAATTCTCTAACAATACAATCAACTTGTGGTCTAAGGTTCTCAAAAATCCTCCTATTCCGCGCCATCCATATGTGATAAACTGTAGTAGCTAGAACAATTCTCTTGACCTTACTTTGCCAAGTCGTTCCTCGAGCTTCCTTCTTCATCCATTTCAATGAGCTTGACAAAGTATACATTACATGTGACGGCTAGCCAACCACGAATCTACCCCCAAACTGAGTTACTGAATGGACAAGAAAAAAATAAGTGTTGTGCAGTCTCTTCCGTCTCTCCACAAGAGATGCAATTCCTGTCCACTTCCAAGTAGTGAAGCTTGTCTTTAGTTAGTAATCTGGATTGATCTCCTAACTAAAGGATGAACACATGCTTTGGAATGATAAAGTAGGTGCCCAAATTGCCTTAGTACTCCTCCGCCTGAAAAATTCATAAGTTGCCTGAACACTAAATTAGTCTGGCACAACTCATTAGACCAGCTTGTGCATTCCTGCCCCGAATGCACTGTTTAGGTCCCATGTCGCTGTCCCTAATTTCTAGCACTTTTTTAAGTAGGGGAGAGTCGTCTTTCCTCACCTTGCATTCCCAAATGTTCGTGCCACAAAGGTTCACCTGATTGACCAATTTAATTCAAAGGGTGTCCTTTTTACTATGAATGTTCCAAATTGCTTTTGAGAGTAGTGCAAAATTTCAGCTTTTAATATCTCTAAATCCAAGTCCTCCTTCATGCTTTGGTAGACAAATATTGTTCCAAGCCACCAATGATTTTTTTGGATTCCCATAGGAAGTTTCGACAAAGACTAATAACTTTGGAGGCAATTGTAGCCAGTATGGGGAATATGGATAACCAAAAGCATTCCACCCCTTTAAGAACGGATCTCACAAGCTCCATTCTCCCTGCATATGACAAAGAAGCTCTCGACCATGCACCAATATAGGATGAAATCTTGTTAATGAAGGAATCATAGGAGCTAACCTTTAATTTCTGTACCGCAAGTGGGATGCCCAATTAGTGAAATGGCATGGTACCCTTTGGGGTGTTTGTTAATGCAAGAATATCCTCCAACTCTTACCCATGAACTCTTGCGGTATACAAGCTAGATTTGTTAAATTCATTTTAAGTCTCGACATATCACCAAATCTAGTAAAGCAATCCATTAAGATACTAACCGATATAACATCCCTTCTAGCAAATAACATCAAATCATCCGCAAAATGCCAAGTGAGTCAACCTTAGAGATGCATATTTAGGATGGAAGTTGAATTCACTATTCTCAGTAGTTCCTTTCACCATTCTAGAAAAATATTCAAGGCACAACACAAACAGGAATGGGGAGAGAGGGTCACCTTGTCGAAGACCTTTCTTTCCCTTAAAGAAGCCATGGATGCTCCTATTAAGTGCAGTAGAGTATGTAGGTGTTGTAATACATTTAATCACCCAATCAATGAAAATAGTTGGGAATCCCAACCCCTCAAGCACCCTTCTAAGAAAATCTCTATTAAGTGCACTAGTTGACTGATACTTAGGAGGTTTTTCATTCAATCCACCATATAAACAAAATGAACTTTTTACAATTAAAGAAATATATATATATACACTAAATACCGGTGCTTAGGAGATCATTTTCGTATGCATGTGTGTGTCTATTGTCTAAGTTAAAATCCAAAAAATAATAATAATAATAATAAAATTGGAAAGGTAAATAAAGAAAACAATCACGGTTTCTTATGGAAAAATGAGAAATCCAAGCTGATAAGAGAGGATAGGTATGGGCAAATCTCCCGAACTGAACCCGACGGTTCTTGTCAAATTAAATACCCGAACGGGTATCTGAATTGAGAACCGGCGGGTACGGTTCGGTTCACGGTTCTAGACCAAGAACCGAATAAGAACCGAATTTTTCTAATTTTTTTTTTTATATTGAGTAAATCAAATTATTATAATTTTTCTAAACAAATTAACAAATTAATGATTTTTAAATCCAAATTTTTGGCCTAATAATTTGTTTCATTTCTAATTTTTTAATTTCTGACTTAATTACCCATTTTATTGTTTCATTTTTTTAACCAAACAAGATCAAATCCACTAAATAATCCTAAACACTTAGGGTGTGTTTGATTACATTTATTTTCCATGGAAAATATTAGTTTTCCATCCAAATTTTCACTTGGAGTGTTTGATTGCTATTTTTTTCCATGGAAAATATTTTCCAACTTTTGAAAATATACCTAATTTTCCTTGTTTTTAAGGAAAACATTTTCCTTGGGTAGAGGTGGTTTTTATTTTCCACAAAAGATGGAAAACATTTTTTTTCTAGGTAATATTTTCTATGTCAATCAAACACACTCAAGGAAAATGTTTTCCTTAAAAACAAGGAAAATTAGGTATATTTTCAAAAGTTGGAAAATGTTTTCCATGGAAAAAAAATAGCTATCAAACACTCCAAGTAGGAATTTGGGTGGAAAATTGATATTTTCCATGGAAAATAAATGTAATCAAACACACCCTTACACTAAAGTGCATAACGTTGTCTCGACTCTCGCACTCACTTTCGCAGTCTCGCTAATATTCCAAAACCTATACAATCGTCGGTCGACACTGTGACCTCCGTCGACCGAAACTTTGATCATAACGATCATTTGAATAAGGTAGTTTACTAGTCTCTGACGTTCCAAAACCATTGAATGTATCATTAGTTGTATTTATATAATGTTGTTATAAATATTAAAAAATTTAATTATAGTACAGAACCGAACGGAACGGAACCAAACTGAACCGAACCCGAACGGTTCCATAATTTTATTTGGACCCGACGGTTCTATTTACTAGATACCCAAAAAGTTTGGTTCGATTCGATTTTCTTTAGAACCGAACCGACCCACGTCCACCCCTAAAAGAGGACGTTTTTGTGGTTGTCATGCATTTCAAGAAGGTATTAAAAAGGCATTGACAAAGATAATTACATTCACATTCACAATTTTTGTTGGTTGCGCAACATTTTAATTGTAATAAAGGTCGCTAACTTTTGTGTTGCTGGAGCATTTATGTCCCAAATTTTTTAGCATTTTTTTTTTAAATTTTGAACCTTAATTAATTAGCACATTTTTTCTCTAATAATAATTTTTTAACATTAGCATGCATTTAAATAAGGGACAAATATTTTGCCGAACTATTGTAGTGCAGAAAATTAATTACGAGACAGAGCTTTTTAAAAGGAAATTTACTTCTAAAATAAGGTACTTTGATAAATTCTAAAGGCATTGCAAATGAAACTGGTCTCTGATTTGCAGGAAAAAAGGGGACCGAAAGTCTTTTTATTTATTTTTTTATTAATGCAAATATACTGGCAAAAGAACATATTGTTAACTTTTATAGCTTTTAAGATTTATTTTATCAAACAAAAAAAAAATTATGCTAGAAATATTATTACTCGTTTTGTAATATACTCATTTTCTTTATTAAAAAAAAAAAAGAAAGAAATAATTTAATTTATTAAAAAAATAAATTAAAAATTGAAATTGACTATTAACTCCTGAGAAAAACCGAAATGAATGATTCTCCTGCGAAAAATAGTTACAGGGTAGCAAAAATCGGAGATGAATGATATTCTTCACGCGGAGTTTGGTAAAGTAATAGTCGGAGACTCTCTATTTTTATAAATATATTTTATAAATTAAAGAGTATCCATATATTTAGAGAGTAAAATTTTTTAAATACTCTAACCTGCCTTTTATATTTAACACTTAATTTTACTACTTCAAAAAAAATATTTATTATTTTTCCCTATCTTTTATTTTCACTAGCTTCCTTCAAATTATTATATTATTTTCTTTCATAAAAAATAAAAATAATTTGAATGCATTTAATTATACAGAGTGGTTTGGCTTTTCAAATTTAAAAAGTTAAACTCACTCTCTAAATTAAAATATTAATTTAAAGTATTTTTTTCAGTCTAATTTTAAGGATTAACTTTTTAAAATAAAGAGCGTTTTATATATAAAGAGTTTTTGAGGAGATATTTTAAGAGTTTTATATAACCCAATAATTGCAGGACTTGAACCGGATTCGAAGAAAGTGGGTTGGATGCAGGGAATCGTTGGGCTTGCAAACTTGCATGAATTGGCACTGGTTGTACTCGGTGACTAGTATAATGGAAGTACACTATAAATATTTTGGGAAGGAACTAGGAGTGTAAGCGATTCGATTTTATCGATTTTTGAAAAATTTTCAAATCAAATCGTTTAAATCAGTTTGAAAAAAACTCAAAGCTAAACCAAACCATTTTGATCAGTTTGAAAAAAATTCAAACCTAAACCTAACGGTTTGGTCCGATTTTAAACAGTCGGTTTTGCCTTATATTTTTTTGCCCTAATTTTATGTTATTAATTCATTGAATTCAATATATATTTATATCTTACTAACAATAAATCTAAACCAAACTAAGCCCCTGTCTGAACCAAATTTTTTAGAAAAAAAAAATGAAAATTTGGACCGTTGTTCCATAAGTTCAGTCGTCTTTGTTGACCTGTTGTTTCATGTGTGAGACCCAACTTCCCCTCCAACGCTCAATTTTCTCATTATAATGATATGGAAAATATAGCTCAAATAGAGCTAAATATATCTACTATAAATTTAAATACCAACTAAATCAAAGTGAAATCACAATAAATTAAAACATAGTTTTTTTTTTCATTTTTGTTCACATTTTTTAGGTTAATGACGATACAATAACACTACAATACAAGTCTACTAAATTGGATTTAAGACCAAAAAATATAATGATGTCCAACAAGACCCCGTGATCATCATATCTGAAAAAGGGATACTGATTAAATAAAGATAATAACCAACCACAATAAAAAAGCAATTGTTTATAATATCTAAACATAACAATTATACAAGTTTACGTTTGTATGATGCTACAAAACGCATTTAATTTCAAATTTGTACCTTAGTTTGCTCCAAAAAAATTATTGATCTGAAACTTTATTCGTAGCAAATATTATCACTGAAGGTCTAAGATCTCTTTGTCTCCGATTTGGTATAATGGCTTTCAATTTAACTTTGAAGAGACGTGAAAAATCTGAAAAAGAATTATGTGGTATCGGTCCTTAGAGACTATGATAGCACACTTAATATATGAATATGCAATTTTCATCTCTCATTTGGAAGACGAAGCATCGTAGCTTTCCTATATTTGATTAACAACATTCGGTGGAATATTACTTTTTTTATACTCATGTAGACTTGCATTAATAAATTTTATTAAGAGAGTCACTTCTAATTTACATTTGAATTAAAAATTCGCAGAGATTTTCATCACGATCTTAACCATTCAAATTTGTGAACTAACTAAAGTAATACATCCTTTTATGTAAAATTTTACGTGATATCATCGCCTCTTGTAAAAAGAGAGCCATTGTTCATATCTCACTTCAAGCACTTATTCAAGCTTCTCCACCCTTCGAATAATTTGTTGTAAGTGACTAGGTTGTCCATATTTGGTGAAAGTATGGGTTAGTCTTCTTTTCAAATCTTTCTTTAATTATTAAATCAAAATATTTTTGAATTGTACTTGTTACATGCTAAGATTGATTCTTCCGTTAAATTTCTTCATAACGTATTTGATATTTGACATATTTATTTGCTAAACTCCGATGACTTGATACTCCGATACCCTTGTCGGGAATTTAAAAAATTTTCAATTTAATTTGTTGATAGGATCTTTGTTCAGAAAACATTTTTAGAAGGTTGAAATATAAAAAAGATGGAGAAAAATAACACAAAATTAATGAACTGTAAAAGATAGAGATGTTCCTCTATATGAAAATTGTAACAATCACACCCAATTTCTAGCTCACCTAACTCTTTAATACAATAAACGTTACCTCCTCCAGCTGTTCTATTTAAATCAACATTATTAAACTAATAATTTTTCTTTTCTGTCACGTACTAAAAGAAATTAACAAAGCGTCAACTTATAGAGACGTGTTCCTTTTTCTTTTCCAATTTTGAAGATATCGACATGAAATTGAAGCTGATTTTTATCTTTCTTTATGAAAATTGGGGCAAAATTTGGCAATTGGATGTTCATATCTTCCTATTCAATTTGTTCCAAAAAATAGGCTTATTTTCATTTTTCACACAATTAAAAAATGTAGTTAATATAGTTGAAAAATAATTTTTTTCTAACATTTTTCTTAATATACCCGTGCATTAAATAATTGTTTAAATATGAGTAGTCCTTATTTATTGATAACAAAATATATTAAATAGTGATTTATTAGAAAACTAAGAAATCGGCTACACTCTCAATGAGAAAAGTGATCTATAATTTGGAAGAGACGAAAAAGAAAAATAAGTGTATCTTTATGAGATAAAGGGAGTATAAAATAAACTACTTTTATCTTATTACACCTACACAAAAAATAAAAACAAAACAAAATACTTCATCCATCCCATAAAGATAAAATTGTTTCCATTTTCACACAGATGAAGAAAATATAATTAATTTAGTTGAAAATATAATTAATTATTTTTACATTTTTAAATATACCCATATATTAAATATGGATTCAAATGGAAGTAGGGCATATTTATTGCTTAAGGTACATCGGATAAGGCCATATTATAAAACTAAAAAAATTAACTTACTCTAAAAAAAGAAAATGGCCTGTAATTATTAAATGAAGAGAAAGACAAGCAAGTCTATGAACTTGTTCGGTAGTGATTATGATAATTAATTTTTTGTTCGTTAGAGAGAAAAACGGGTCCCACATATAAGAAAATAATCAAAAAATGAAGACTGATTTAGGAAAGTAATGATCAAAAAATTAATTCTTTGGGATGAAAAATCAGAACAAAATGCACTATCTTTATTAGAGGAAGAGAAAATTAATTATCTGAATTGAAATTAGTTCGTGTAAATGTCAGAGAGATACGTGGAAAAGTAAAGACACAAATGGTGGATCAACATCAATGCCATACACCAAATAAACAAGCTATTGTAGTGTCATTAAATGACCGCAACAGGCCGTTTGGCTTCTTCTGGTTATGATTTCTCCAACAAAGCCATGAACAAACAAACAAGGTTGTCAATTAATTATACTTACACGTCACTTCGACTGATATGTAGAATCATTTGTGCTGAATAGCATTACATTTATCCTAAACGTGAGAAAGATACGTGGAAGAAGTAAATACTTCATCCGTCCCAATTATATAGACTGAATTTCATTTTTTTCTTGTCCCAAATATATAGGCGTGTTTCTTAATTTAGAATATTTTGTTTATTCCTTTAAAAATATAACATTATTCAAATTTTCCCACTTAACATGCCAATTTTTTGAAATTATCCAAATACAGACATTTTTCATATTTTGGAAACATGGAACAACACTTATTTCTTCTTCTTCAAATTAATTCATTCAAATTCTATACTAATTCCTAATTTACTACTCCCTCCATCCCAATTATATAGTCTTGTTTCATTTTTCTCACGGATTAAGAATTCTTCTTTAATATCATTGTTGGAATTAGTAAAGAATTTGAATGATTTAATTTGAAGAAGAAATGATTAAAGTTGATCCATGTTTCCAAGAAGTAAGAAATGTATGTATTTGAATGATTTCAAGAAGTTGATATATTAAATAGAGAAAATTGAATAAGGGTATATTGGTAAAACAACAAAATAAAATATTCTAGATTAGAAAACATACCTATATATTTGGAACAAGAGAAAAAGGAAATTCAACCTATATAATTGGGACAGATGGAGTATTTACTTCTTCCACGTATCTTTCTCACGTTTAGGGTGAATGTAATGCTATTTAGCACAATTGATTCTATACATCAGTCGAAGTGACATGCAAGTATAATTAATTGACAACCTCGTTTGTTTGTTCATTGCTTTGTTGGAGAAATCAGAACCAGAAATAGAGTACTACATGCTAAAAATTAAATTCTTAATCCGTATGAAAAATGAAATAAGCCTATATATAATTGGGACTTACACAAAAGGCAATTCACCGACTATTGAATTCCACGGTCCCATTGAAATGCTGATTCTGATTCCTTCAACCTCTTTATAATCACATTCAAATGTCTGTCTATCGGTAGAGATCTATAAAAACTAGAAAGAGATGACAAAAATCGGCATTGTAATTTTAGGGTTTTGCTCATTGGCCATTTTCTTGCCATGGGTCTGTTCAGGTCTGACGAAAGAAGAAATTTGGTCAGAAACCTACTGCCAAGGAAAGGAAAAGGTTACTAAGCTTCACTTCTACCTCCAAGATTTAATAAGAGGGCCTAATAAAACAGTGTACACAGTAGCAAAATCCGAGTTAACAGATTCTCTTCCCTCGCAGTTTGGCAGGCTCTTGGTTTTAGATAACCTAATAACCGCAGGGCCTGAACCAGATTCGAAGAAAGTGGGTCGGATGCAGGGAATTGTTGGGCTATCTAACTTGCATGAATTGTCCTTGGCTATGCTTCTTAACGTGGTTTTCACAGAAGGTAAGTATGATGGAAGTACACTAAGTATTTTGGGAAGGAACCCATTGACTGAAAAAGTTAGGGAGGTTTCGATTGTTGGTGGCACCGGTGTTTTCCGAATGGCACGAGGATATGTTATTACGAGCACGCACTCCTTTGATGGTTCACTTGGTGTATATGAATATACAGTTTTCGTTTCTCATTTGGAAGACGGAGCATCGTAGCTTTCCTGTATGTGATTAACTCTACGTACCCAGTTGAGCATCACTTTGTTTAAAAGTTTGGATGTATGATTGGACAGTCGATCTTGTCTAAAAGTTTGAATTGTTTAAGAATAATTGAATTTACTTAAAAAGTAAATTATGTTTTCAACTTAGCGTTATGTTTGAAGAAGTCATGTAGACTTGCATTAATAAATTTCGTTGAGAGACTATTGATTCATTTAATTTGTCCTCTTGACATGAATGTGCATGTATTCGAACAAAAATTTCAAAGTGACTTCAATTATTTTTCTGCACGGCTGAGCCTTGAATAGTTAGTTAAAATGTAATTTAGATTTCTGGCGAGATTTATTATCCTATTTGAAGCTTGGAGGGCGGAATGATCAAATTTGGAAAGAATCATCACATATCGAGATAGTGACTTTCATTGATGAAATTCAACCAAATTTGAGCGGGAAAGAAATAAGTATTGTGAAACTAACCTTAGAATAAACACTCCGAGTATGTGAATAAGAACAAGTTCGAGATGTACATACCATGAGAGAGAAAGAAAATATTTGACTATAAGTGTCGAAAAATAACCAACCTAAAAGCTCATGATTATTAGATTGACCATGCACACACACATTAATCGAATATTGAATCAGTAGAAATTTAGTTTTACTTGCAGTGCTAATGAATTTTTTTATGAATTATTAGATGATTTAAAATACTTGATCTAGGTTTGGAAAAGTTATCTAAAGCTTTTATGTTGTTGTTTGAATTATGCTTTTAGTAGATAGTCTTGCTCAGAACGAACAAGAGTTTAAGTTTGAGGTATTTGATAAGTGTATTTTATGTGTTTGTTCGGGCTTCTATTTTATTAATTTATTATTATTTTGGGCGGATATATACTTAATTTAGGTTAAATTTGGTTAATTTATGTAAATTGGGATTGGACAAGTTTGGATAAAATTAGATTGAAGTTGCACAAAATTGAGAAAATGGGAACCAAAAAGATCAAGCTTAAAGTAGAGGACATGCCGTGCAAATAAATAGGACCTCGGATGCACCGAAACTTAATGTGGAGGGCCAAAATGCACTTAACTATCAAAAATTCCAATATTTAGACTCACATTCCACATTGAAGATGTTTGAGTTATTCTATATATTTCTATATATATAGTTTTCATTCATTCTTTTTAACACATAATTTTAGAGAGACAGACACATAATCATCAAGATTAAAGAGCAAAAAGTTATGATTTGAAGATTTTTTCGATTGAAAAAGATTCCTTGTGCAAAATTCAATTCTTTCTCTCTTCAAGATTTCAAAACTCGGTTATGAACTTTATATTTTTTTATTATTTTTCTTTTCATTAGTATGAGTAGCTAAATTCATAATTATGACAAATACTATAATTTATGTGCAACACTTTAATTTAATTTTCAAGATTCAAGTAGTTTAATTTTTATGTATTGATTTTATCTATGGTGGTTTTATGCTTTGAATTACTTGACCAATAATTCAAAGATTTTTTGAATTTATAACAAGTTGAGAGGCGAGTTACAGGTTTAAACCACATAATAAAATTTGGAAACTAGTATAGAAGTGTAAAAATACGTTTTTTAGTTAATGCAGTGGTTTTAAGACGTTTAACTAAAGTGTATCTTGATTCACATAGAGATATGAAATTGACTTAGTTAAATAGAATCACTTTGAACTCGAGAAATGTGAAATTCTAAGTCATAAAAGAATTTGATCGAACACTATAATAGTTATGAATCTAGATTAGAAAATTAAAGGGGATCCATAGGTGAAATTATAAGTTCTAGTATCCACATTTGTACTTTAAAACTTGAATTTGATAAATTGTGCGCGTTCGATTAATTTAATTTAATTAGAATAATTTAGATAATCAATCACCAAATAATTTGTTTTTCATCAAATAAAAGTTAGAAATAGTAAACTAATTATCAAATTACAGTCATCGTGGAAATGATAATACGGACTCATAGGTACACTATATTACTTATTACTATCCGTACACTTGCATGATATAAAATTGACATCCTTCCGAATTGTAGTACATACTGAGTCAATTCAATTGGATGTTCATAACTTCTTATATCTATAAAATACACTATTTTTATCTCATTGCACTTGCACAAAAATAAAATCAAAATGAAATAATAATTAATCTTAATCATATTCTTGAACTATGAATATGAAACTTTGTCGTAAATGTCAAAGAGATACGTGAAAGAAGTAAAGACACAAATGGTGGATCATCGTCAATGCGATTCACCAAACAGACAAGATATTATCATGTCATTAAATGGCCGTTTAGCTTCTTTTGGTTCTGATTTCTCCAGCAGAGAGGTGGCCTACGAATTATTATGTGAACCAGCAACTTGTTCTGAGTTTTGTTTCCACATATATGTCAATTTAAATTATCTTTAAGTGTTCATAGATACTTTAACTCGTATGCTCAATAAAATAAGTAAAATCATAATTTATATATTATATAATGTTACTTTATTAGAACAAAATATATTATTTGAATACACAATACAACTTTAGGATCACAGGGAGTCTCGTGGTGAGGGGGGATTGTTGACGTACAATAATGTCGTTCTTAACCCCATGGGTTGGATCACTGGAATGATGACGTCAAATGCCATAAAATGTTTAGTCCTTCCTCATTGGACACTAATGAATTTTCAAATGAAATGGTTATAACTTGATCCTCACAATTAGATTAGATTACGCATTGGAGAGTCGAGCATGGATAAGTTTTCAAATCTTTGAATTATTTTTTCAAATGAACTTCTTGAATACAACATGAGATAATGAATGTAGGAAGTTTAACTGACCTACACAAGTCCGTTATTGGTCTATTCTATTGTTTCATTATCATATTATAGTTTTGTTTGACGATTAACAAAAGTTTATGTTTGACAAGTGTAATACTTAACATAAATTTACTGAACACGCGATGAAGAAACTGGGAGAACAGGAGGAGGACACAAGAAAAAATGGAGGCTAACTCTTTGGCACTAGTTTTTGCTTGTTCTTTCTTTTCGTTTTCTTTTTTGTTTTTGAGGGGGGTAGAGATGAGGGGTTGGTTTGTACTATAAACCAGTGGGATCTGGAAGTATAGTCTTGGTAGAGCATGCTTTAGCATCAATGTCGGCTCTTTCCGGACTTCGTTTGGGGGGTCATGTATGTACACTAAATACAAAAAGTCGTCGTCACCTATTTACAGAAATAGCATATTAAGATTTTTGATAAAGAATAGGACGATATGCACTTGTAAAGAAAATAATGCAGACAAAATTTAAATACAGACATACGATTTCTCTCTAACGTACGAGAGAGAGGCCCTAGTTGCTTCTAGATGTGAGTGTGACATTGGTTTAGGAGAGTAGTTGTTGGCAACTCTCTTCATCGTAAAAGAATGGCATCAATTAACTAAGGTATAAAGTAAAGTTAGCAAGATGAAGGTGCAAGTCTGATCTCCTACCCTTAGTGGTGTCGGATAAAAACTTCTCGCTTGCCCATTGGGGGCAAGAGATCAATATCAGACAAAGGTATGATACCCTCCTTTTCTTTATATATATGTAGCTTGAACCACACAATAATACAGTAAACCTTCCCAACCCAATTTGTAGCAATTATTTATTGTCCCATCAATCTCATTGATTGGCAATTGTCCCAACAAATAGGGTACGGCAGGGTCCCATCTGAAATCAACTTCCTTTATTAACAAACAAGAGAGAAACAGGAGCCAATACAGTATTATTTCACCATGTACCAACAAGTTTATGCAATTTTCCACTAATTCATCTGGTGTCCGCATAAAGCTTTGTTGAGTTATTTCAACATATGATATGTTGCGTGAATATAAACTACAGTGCTCCAGGTAGAAATAGCCTGAAGATGATTATTGATATCCCAATTTATTTCTTTTTCCTGACTTCATACAAGTAGCTCAGGATCACCACAGCAGCAGCCACAGCAACTCCAACAGCACTTTGTGCCAGTACAGTACCATCTTTTATAATTGGTTTTGAACCAGAGGGAGGAGTAAATCCGAGTTCGGAAAGTTTCTTATGTGATTCTGCATAATCTTTAAAGAAGGCATCTTCATCCTGCTCACGCCAACAATTTCAAGTTATCAAATGAGCACAAAATGATTAACCGTCATCTGAATTAGTTCATTGAAGAAAATAGTCGTGTGCATTTGGCGCTTTAAACCATAAATTCACACCATTTATGCTGCCAAATGAATTAACCCCCAAGATGCACCACCAAAAAGAGATTAAAATCATATTCTAACCGGAGCAAAAAAACTTCGAGCTTATTATGCAAAACACATGCATTATATGTTCCATTGAAGAACTTTGGCATGTCCGTTATACCCAACTACTTGTACGGGACGGTTTCTCCTTCTTCCTTTCTATGAATTTTAGATTCATAAAAGTAAACCACAATACAAAAAAAAAAGGGGGGGGGGGGGGGGGGGGGTGAAGAGACAACAGCACCGCATCCAGGTGTGGAAATTGCACCAGGAAACCAAAGAGAAAAGGCCGTGTATTTTGTATTTAGAAGTACTAGTAAACCATATCATTGAGAAATGACTGCAAATAACAACATGACAATAATGTTGCACTAATCATGCATTTGAACTCCATATTACCTTAGCATACAGCTCAACATAACGCCGAAACTCAGGATCCTCCAGCAAAGCTGTGTCAGTTGGTAGTTTAAGCAACCCTTCACTTTCCCCCTTAAGTAGTTCCCTGATATCAGATATAAAAGAGAAAAGCTTAAAAGAACCAAAATTAAGAAAACGGAATAAAATAAGATGAATTCATCCAAAAGGCTTACACAAAATATGAATTGTCAAATTTCAATGGCTCTTTAGTCCAAGGGCCATCGAAGCCTGATCTCTCAGGATGTGCCCTTCCCTGCATAACCCTAATATCAGTTTCATTTTGATTTCCCAATTTTACATTCGATGGCCAAAAAAATAATAATAAAATAAAATAAAATAAAATAAAATTGTTTGATTTCATGATAAACCCTTTACTGCTTTGGAAGTGGTCTAACAGTCAATGCAAGAATGCAAAGAATAGAGATTACCAGGGTATGGCCACCAGATAGTGCCACAATGTCCTTGTCAGATAAACCCATCCGATAAAATACCTCCTTCAGATGTGGCACGCCTAGAATCAAAAAACAAAAGAATATGTAAGATTAAAACTTCAAATCATCTTTCAAAGTACTGAACATATACACAATAATTCCAAAATGCTTTAAGTGAGCAGTCTTCTTCACAAAAGTATCACAAATAACATAATCCTATTAGTTTAAAGCTGAGACTTGAGCGGAGCACGAAAAAATGACCCTCGAAAAGCAATATATCAAGCGAAAGTTGTGCCAAGTCTGAAAACAGATTTCCCCGAAAAAGTCGAAACGATATGACTTATGATACCGATCCACGTACAATGGGAATATACACCTCTGGATGACTGATGAACCAAAAGAAATGCTGGTATAATATTGGGTCTCCCTCTCCGTCCTCTTTATGACTAATATTAAAGATTTTATGAATGTAGGAGACCCAAAAGAATGGTTTTGAAAGAATAAAAATGAAACTAAATAAGACCACCACAGCACTTAACAAGGGCTGTAGTACGGAACAACCATGCTTCCCATTGTAATTGCCATTGTAGCACGTGTGGCCCAGCCCATAAGTGCCAAGCAGACTTGACATTTAGGGAACATGAAGAGAAAGAAAAGGTGAATTAAAGAAAAGGTGAATGTCAACTAAATGAAAAATCTGCTTCGTTGCACTACCTTAATCGATTCAAGACAAGCACTATTCCTCAGCTGAAAGAAGTTAATATCCTTGAACCTTTGTATAAAAGAATATGAATGCTAGAAAATAAAATAATTATATGTTTAACATGATGAACCATGACTATGAACCAAAAGAACTACTGCAACAACAGGTATAGTAGTTCGATTGAGTTGCCAAATTAAATCAATAGTAGATGAGAAAATCTACATGGTAAGAAAATTGAAATTTCAGAATTCTTAAAGAGGAAATAAAGAAAACCAAATGCCAACGCAAATATTCAGATTTAGGAACTTTCTTCTTTGATGCGGAGGACTGTGGAAGCAGGGGAGAAGAGGTGATATTTCGAGATCTTTATCTTAAAGAAGATTCACTCAAAAACCTTTTTTAGCATCTGGAAGTCGCCCTTCCTTAGGAGAAGCACTTGAATGCTGAAAAAAAGGCAAGATATCTAGCGTCAACACTGTTCTTGTTGCCATTAATATAACATGCAAATAGAAGGAAATCCAGGTAGGCTAGAAATTGATTTCAAAGCACGAATAGCCACATTTGTGGAACAAAACTAATTGATTTCTATCTATAGGACAGATTGGCATACCTTTCTACCAGCCACAAAACTAATTGTGGGCCCCCCAGTTACCTCTACAGCAACAACACCAGCAAGCTACAGTCAAAATAAGTTATTAGCATGATAGTTTACTCTTAACTTATACATCAGTAGGCGCCTTCTTTCCAGGAAGATGTTTGTGAAATGCAGCATGCCAAAACAAAAAAATACAAAAAAACAAAAACAGAGGAAGGAAGGGAAAAAAAAAAAGAAGAAGGGACGTCAATGCCTTCAGAAAAATAACAGAAACGAAATTAAATGAATGATCTTTGGCATAAAACATGCAGCAACATGTTTCACGTGCACATGGCACCAACTCAGGGGAAGATGGTTTATGTACACATTTTGAAAGGCAAATTTTAGGTGCTAAATTAGACAGTTACGCCAAAATATCCAAAGATATTGAAGTTATATGGTTCACAGTTCAATATTGAGATTCTACTCAATTCACACCAAAACTGATTGTAATTACTGAGGTGAATTGCCCAGAATCATTAAATAGAGTGAATATAATGATAATCATACAGCATCTGCTTCAATTCAACTGTTTGATCCATAAATTCCTATCTTGTTCAATCCAACCATTGTCAATTCTCCTCCTGGTCTTGACCACAATGATAGCATCAAGTTTTATAGTGTTCAATATTCTAGTCATCCAATTCTTATATAAAATTACCAACTCTCTTGTTATCATTGATAATCAGTACTTCTATAGCAACTATTTTTCAAGTAAACTACACATTTAAAAACAGCTAATATATCATAACCAGCAGTGAATAAGTGTTTAATAAACTTATTATTTCTCTCCAAAACTTCTAAGTATCATTTTTTTGCTTAGTATCATCTCAACAGGCAAACATAACTAGTGTACCAAAGGTATAAGTCTCATTAAATCAATTTCCAATACTCGTTCAATATCACAAAAATTATGAATAGTAAATCAAGGTCATAAGCTCATGCTATATCCTTTATGTCAATTGTAAGATAGATGTTGGATAAAGCAAGTTCACAAATTGAAAAATATAACAATTTCGCACGCATCAAATTGACAAATTGCATGGAAACCCACTGACTCTTTGTTCAAGATTTGCAATAGCTACCTGGTATAGGTCTGCATATGTGATCTTCGGACATTTAAACTTTACTTGATCTGCAATTAGAAGCCAAGAAACCCATTAGAAATGTCTCCATTCAATATAAAATGTACGTCATTTCTTGCTAGAGATAGGCTGAATTATGTTAGACAATCAAATTCGCAAAAATTTCTTCCACCAAAATGGTATTTTTTTTTTTTTTTTCAATTACAAGTAGTACAATGAATGAAATTTATATAGATAAAGGAATTGTAGTTATTCAATAAATTACAGCACATAAAAGCTACTATTACATAATAGACAAAAAGTATTTTAGTCAAACAAAAGTTAAAGCGTGAAAACGAGCAAACTAACCGCAAAAGTCGAGAGCGATTTTCAGTCCACTGTTAGCGCTATGAGTATACTCCTCCTCATTGCGAATCGAACCATTGGGACCTCCGGTCTTCGTGTTCACATCATAAGTCCCCGCATCATGCCACCTTTAGATTTAATACAAGCAAAACCAAGAAATTAACTTGAATTGGATCATTTCCGAAACACCGAAAAAAAATAGTAATTAGATGGATAAATAGATATGATATAGATACAGATATAGATATAGATATAGAGAGTGAGTGAGTGAGTGAGTACGCTAAGCGAAGCATTATAGGGGCGCAGTTTTTGTTGGAGATAAGAGCACGGAGTTCACGGCGAGCTTTTTCGATTTCCTTAAGGTACTCCGTATCGATGATAGGCTTCGCCATTGGAATTCTGAAAATCGATTCTGTTGTTGACGACGATGAGATAAGATAATTTGAATAACGACTGACACATAAATAAAGGAGAAGAAGAGCAGGGTGCCTGAAAATGATGACTAGAGTATTGGGCTTTTTGTTTGGGCTCATTGGTTTCAGAATAGACGGTGCTGCAAATATGAAATTAATTTTTTTTAATTATTAATCCACCTATAAAATTATTTATTGAAAGAACGTACGATTATTAAAAATGAATTTATGAAAAAATGAGTATTAAAAAATTTGTATCAAACATGGACTAAATTATAAATATATAAAAATTATCATGAGAAATATAATCGACCAATATGATCGGTGTAAATATAGCATAAGAAGCGAAACAATGGGCCACTGAATTCTTTTTTTTTTTTAAGTGAAAAGAACCCGATCCCATCTCCTTATAGTGATCACTTGTAGGAAAATACTTGCTATATATTACCATTTACAAAATATTCTACAGATTGATGTGATGTTTAAAAGAAAACGATAAGTTTTTTTTTATTCGATTTATGAGATTTCGACTCAATTAAAATTCTATTGCATCATTTGTTGATAAATAAATCTGTAAGCCGTGATTTACAAATAACACAACCATAACATGCATTCAATGTGAAAATCGAAGCCTAGTGAAATTACATAATACCGCGATAACATCAACAAACTCTACATACCATCCAGTGATTTCAACATGTAATGAGTTGAAAAACGATCAGAATAATTTTTATGAAGATTGGTTGATAAAAGGGGTTCCCACATTTTTCAGACAACATACCACTTTATTTTGCAGCAAGAAAATGAAAATACAGTAATTCGCCTCACATCAAGCTTTAGCCTCAATTACTTACATATGAAACATACAACGATTTTGCTATGACCATGACTAAAATAGACAGTATATTTGTCATCACACGAATCTCTCCCCATGCTCGAGGTGATTTTTTGTTTGAGAGGATCGGCCTCAAGATGATGTACGCCATTGCAGCTCGATTTGAATCATTCCATTCTTTGAATCTATGAGATGGTATTTCTCGTTGATCCTTTTGTTGTTGACAACATCTGCGAGATTGATGTTGACATAGCCCAATGTTTCCTAAATTTCAAAACAAAATGATGAAATACATACAGTTTAGTCACCATAAAAAGCAGGTGTAAATGGCAAGGAATTCTAGTAACTTCTCTTAACGGAACCTTTCTTGTATTGAGCCTTCTTTGCACCATCGATACATAATATTAATGCAATGGAATATTCATGAGCATTCATTTTGCATACATTGGGCTTCTGGCCATCGTTTCTCTTATTTGAATTTAAATACAAAATTTTGATCTAAGCAATTATTTGGTCAGTGGTGCAAGAAAAGTGCTCAATATACCTTTGGATGCAGCAGGCCAATTCTTGTTGAGGTGCTGAGTACCTCCACACGTAGATTCTCTTTCAAAGGAGGTTCTTCCAACACGAATGTGAACTCCTCCTCCCATCTTGGATCTCTGTTTTTCTTTATATGCTGTTGCAACAAAAGAAATTATATGCAAGCATCAAGTCGTGTAAGAGACAATTACAGTTATGCAAAGGTTATGGTGGGCAGTTAAACAAATGGTGGATTGTTATCAATGAACCAGGAAAACAAAAGAATTTACTTTATTTTAGCTGCAAATGTTGACAGTTTATGACATCCATAATAATTCCAAGCCAAGGGGGGTCATTTTAAATTTTAACTTCCCATTTTATGTTAACTGTTGAGTGTTATCCAATCCTCCCTACCAAACATGTCATTAATTGCTAGAGGTAATATTCATATGAACATGAATTACAGAAGATATACAGTGTGTGAATCTTGGTCACTAGAATTGATAAAACAATTTATAACTGCACTTCCAACCAGTTTAAAAGAGCGGAAAGAGCTTCTTCTTTTAGTGAAGTGAGGAAAAGCACAAGAGAAGTTAGTTACGCACCTTAGTTTTCCGCTCCTCTCCTTTGAAAATAACACGTACATATGGGTTAGTGTGGTGCTTTCCTTCAACATCTTGTGCTTCATGGACTATAACCACTAGTACGCCTCCACTGGGAGGTGTGCCTTCAGGAGCCTTTTGCAATGGTTTGTCAAGATCTTTCGACATATCATCCTCCTTGAAAGGTTTGTATGTCAACTCTACCACAAGCTGTCCACGGAACTTATCATCTTGAGAATCATTTTTATCCAGGTTCTTGAGAAGATCCAGCGTCATGACATTCGGCTCATCAGGAGCAATTTCCTTCAGAGGAACTACGTTCATACCCATCTTGTCATGTTTACCCACCTGAGGAGTAATACAAACAGCTTGGTTACACAGGAGAATAACCAGGAGAAAAAAGAGAACAAATTCCAACCTGTAATGGGAAATTTATACCTGTTCCCAGTCATAAACAATAAGCTCCAGTGCCTGCGATTCTGGATCTTTAATAGCAATACTAAATTCCTCATTCCACTCGGGGTTCAAATTCTTATGTTTCACTGTAGTCTTCTTTGAAGGAGCCTTAGATTCAGTGATTTTCAGTTTCACATATGGATCTGATGCACCTAATAAGTCCTTCTTTCTCAGCTTCATTGCCCTAATAACCTTCACATGGAGAATCCCAACAGGCTTCTTCATAGCTCTAAAGGTCCAGAGTAAATTAATTAGTGCGTGTACGAAAGACCCTCTCGAGGGCAAGTTTTTCCAATTTTATTATCTCTATATATAAGAAAAACATACTTAGCTGGATCCAAAATTTCCACTTCTAGGGTTTTAGGCCACAGATACATGTTAGCAACTTGATCTTTGATAAGCTCCTGAAGAGAAGAGATTCACACAAATGTTATCATGCATGTGATCTGATGAATAGCAGAATTAAACCGGTTAAAACAATCATAGCGCAGAAATGTCGAGGAACAAAAGGTGCATGCCCATAAAACTCGTTTAAGCTGATGAAATTCCGGATAAAAGACATTACAGACAAACATATTCGGCTAAGCTTGAAAAATGTAATGTTACCTTTTCAGTAACTTCTTGTCACCATACACGGTGACTTACTTTACTTAATTGTAAGTAAAACTAGTTACCCTTTTTTAAAGTAACTCTTACCTTGCTAAGAAAAGAAGTAACTTATTTCTAAGTTTCACCAATTAAAAGTTATTCATTCTAGAAAATATTTACTTATATGTAAACATTATAAGCTTAGCCAAACATTCACTTAAAAACTGGGAACACATGGAGCCAGGAATAGCCTTCTCTTTTACCAGTCACACATGCGCAAGTTTTCTGAATACCAATTCAATGCAGAATAAATTCTAAATTTTGATGCATCCAATATTTCCAGCTGAGTCACAGCCTTTTATTAGTGAAATCACTGCTCTTATCCGTTTTATTTTCAAATGCCATATTTTTTTTTCAAGATAAGACATCATATGCTTTTAAATAGAATTGATTGAAAGGGAATTGTACCTGTACAAAACGGTAAAGGCCAGGAATTGACATGAGATCAGCCCCAACAAGCTTTAGTCCAAAGTCAACATGTGGCTGCAAAACAACATATGCCATTCAAGAGAAAAATTAACAAGCAGTTGTACCAACTTTGACTTGTGTCTCGACATAATCCATCTTATGTGTATTCTTGACATATCATATTCTAAACAATATACAAACTAATAAAACAAAACAACAATTGCCGTACTAAACTTGTTTCTTCAGCCAGTCTTACAACATTTGATTCCATTTGTAACACAAATTTGTTTAAGATTTTGGTCGATACATTCAAGTTATTAATAACATAAATAAAATACTGCAAGAACAAATTCTTCGTGATAAGTCATAGCATGCGTTTAAAGATATTTAAGAGTATATTAACCGAGTCTTGGAAATTCAATACTTTCCATGAAAGTTCTTACTCTTAAGCTATTAAAAGAGAGAGAGCTCCAGGATTCAAATATTTTGTGTCATTACAATTGATTCTTAAAAATACCATCATGTACCTTCTCCATGAGAGAGACAAAGATTTTAGCAAAACAAGGGAAGCTTGGAACTAGGGGCTTTAAGGTGATGCGTGGCTGAGCAAAGATTTGCAAATCCACAACCTGAAACATTCAAATTACAAATTCGTATTTTCAAACTAAACCAAAAAGTCTAAAACTGTCAGAATCAAAGATAAAAGTCAGCAACAGACTATCTCATAGCATTTAGATTACCACACAACCTGAACAGTTGCTTTTAGACCGAATGCTTTAACACCCAGTGTGACATTAGGATTCCCTGCCCATTTCAGAGAAGGCTCCATAATCAATTCTTTTTCTCCAGTGGTAAAGACCTTCATACCTGCCATGAAATGTTTTGGCAGTTTATATAACAATAGAAGAGAGTTCAACATACTTATTGCAACATATTCTCTAATGCTATAAAAAATAATCGAAAACACACACACTTACCAAACAAGAGAAAATAGAATAGGTGCAAGCTATGCACATGAAGGGGATCTGGGGATGTACGTATGAGAGTAAGTATACTTCCCAAGTTGTAACGTCCCAAATTTATTTTATTGCGAATTAAATTTAAATTTAGGACTTAAGTGCGCTATTATTAAAGTTAAATGACCTTATTAATTATTAACCAATAGTTGAGGGTCCAAATAGAAAGTTATTTTGGAAATTAGATGAAATCATGCATAAAACATGTGTAAATATGCTAATTAGTCTTGATTAGTGATGATTTATTGATCACATGCATTATTCACACCACATTTCAAGCCAAAGAAATTGATTTGACCACATGCACCTGGTTTTAAGCTAAATGTAATTGATTTGACCACACAATTTAAGATATTGATTTTATCATTTTCATGACAACACACTATTTAAGCATTGACCATGCCTAACATCTAGCCATTTCCCTTCACCCTTCAACATATGTTCAAGAATTTTCACTATAATTAGGAGACAAATCCAACACCAAGTTACCCTGCAACAACTATTTACACACTCTCCTATGGTGGCTAATGTTTATGTATGTAACATTTCTACGGCTATGTTATATTTGGTCCATGTTACGTATATTTTATCAAGAATGGGCCGGAGTTTGGTAGCGCTATGCACGAAAATTTAGCTCCATGCACGAAAATTTAGCACCATATAAGTTCGGTCTAATTTTCGTGTCTCCCTATGCAAGTTATGAATTTTTCATAGAAATACATATATGAATTGATTATTCATGCACATTTATTGATAATTTATTCTCACTCCATCATGTCTCTACTTTCAGATAATTAACGATTCAAGACAGTCGACACGAAAATGGCTTATGGTGGCAATAATTTCAATAATAGAATTATTAAATTGTCAAACTATCATTTCATTTGATTTTAAATGTTTTAAGATATTTCTTGTTCCAAGTTAATTTGTTAAATTCATTACATTTTTTGAATTTTAATAAGTACTTAAATAATTTATACGATTATCTTGAATATTCTTTCAATTAGTTTAGTTTAGTGACACTCAAACCGTTAAGGATTTGAGTCGTCACTATTGGTATCAAAGCAAGCTAACTTTCTTGTAGACTCAAATTTTTTAATATATATATGTGTGTGTGTGTGTGTGTGTGTGTGTGTGTGTATTTTAATTTTTTTTGGCTTTGCAAGAAATTTTATAATTCAAATACTATTCTTTAAATTATTAAGTCGAAATAAGTTTAGTTTTAAAGAAATAAGTTTTAATAAGAACTAAATGATTTTTACATGCCAAGCCATATTCCAAGTCGTCACTCCTCGAATTAGGCATCTCATAAGTTTCATCACTATACATCAAATCTTTAGCTTATATGCACATATGATTTTATTGGTTATGTAAAGAATGCAATTTATGAAAGCATGAATAAGTATGACTTGCTATAAAAATAAAAAATATTGCGAGTTAGTTGTTTACATGTAGCAGCATAAAATATTAGGAGGACATAAACATGTTTTTATTGAATTAAAGTACTCAAAATGATAGAAATAGGCATGTGATATATATTATACCATTATTTAAATTTAGTTGTTGAGAACTGTGACAAAAGAATTTAGAAAGCTTTTAAATTAGGATATGTCAAGTAAGAAAATGATAATGAATAAATAAAAGTTTAAATTTTAGACAATTTTAGTTTTGACGTATTGTTTAAGTTTTCTTGATTTGCGTATTTGCAAGATTGAAAGGTTTTGTCAAAAAGACCTAAACTGTCTAAGGAGAACTTGGGATTTAAGCGGTCCACTTGTGACCCTCCTTCTTCCCTGGAAGCCTTTTAGTTGAGCTTTATTCAAATCAACAAGATAAAGAACAATACTGCAAAATATAAAAAATAATATATATATATATATATTTTTAGAAATATCTATTCCAAGAATTCCTATAGAACCCCATTGCAAGAAGTTCTTTCAAGAAACTCCAATTTTGCAAAGTTATTTATAATAATAATAATATATAGATAGATTTTTTTTCCGTCTTTACTTATTATAATGTTATTCATTAAGGCTATGACACCCCGAGGTAGAAGAACAAGAAATGCTAAACAATCCCAACAACCAGAACACCCCAAATTAACGGGGTTGACCCATAATTTGCTCAGCAATTCCTCGCCATGATGCGTAACTTTGCCCAGGCAACAGTGCCAAAACAACCACCACCACGACAACCAATGCCGCCACCACCACAGCAACAAACACCAATAGGTACAGATGACACAAGGAACACAGCTGCTGTTGTCGTGGAACTATTTAGAAAACAGCACCCTCTAACTTTTGAGGGTGGTTTAAATCCTTTGGAAGCAGAAGATTGGTTGGTGGGGATAGAAAGGATCTTCGATCTCATTCACTGCCCAGACTCTAGGAAAGTTACATGTGCAACATTTATGCTGTAAAGGGGTGCCATGCGCTGGTGGGATTCAACCTCAAGGTCAAGGGCTCGCGTACATATGTGGTCATGGAACTAATTCAAGGAGAACTTTTTTGAAGAAGTACTACCCTACAAGTGTCCGAAATCAAAAGGAGGCTGAGTTTATTACATTGACTCAGGGTTCAATGTCTCTTACTGAATACGAACGAAAGTTTGAAGAATTATCTCATTATGCCCCTAGCTTTGTGGATACGGGGAGAAAAGGGCAAGACGTTTTGAACAAGGTTTAAGGGATGATCTAAGGCAGGCAATGGTGTGCTTGAACTAGGAACCACCATAAAGTGTTATCAAAGGCCCAAATGACATATTTCAAAAGCCGCTCTAGTGGGGAGAACAAGCAACTATATGGGCATATGGAAAAGCGCAAATGGGAAGATAGCACGAGCAAAGGACAACACAACTATGGTAAAAAAGGCAAAGGAGACCTGACTCAAAATAACAATAAGAGCTTTCCGCTTTGCAACAAATGCAAGAAACACCATTTGGGAGCTTGTCTCTTAGGGACAAACACATGTTTTCAATGTGAAGAACAAAGGCCCATGGTCAGGTTTTACCCTAAGATCCAGCAAAAACAAGGAAGCGCACAGCAGAGGCAGGAATATGCACCCAAGGGACAAGCAAGAATCTTTGCATTGACCGAACATGAAGAGGTTCAGAATCGTAATATTTTGGCAGGTAATGTTTTAATATCCAACTTACATGCCTATGTATTAATCGATTCTGGTGCCACTGATTCTGGTGCCACTCACTCCTTTATATCCCTTAAATTCGTAAGGAGATTAGATATGAATATTATACCTGCATGTTTACCTTTAGAAGTGTCTATACCCTCTGGAAATGTGCTGAGCACAAATAATATAGTTAAGGCGGCAAGGATAGAAATCGATGGTAGGTCTTTAGAGATGGAACTTTATGTATTAGATATACATGATTTCGACGTAATTCTTGGGATGGATTGGTTATCCAAGAATCATGCGACAATGCATTGTTTCGAGAAGGAGGTGGTCTTCCAAAAACCTGGAGAAGAAGAATTTCGATTATCAGTAACTAAGAATGGGTCCCTGCCCAATGTTGTGTCATCATTACAAGCACCACGGATCTTACAACTAGGAGGTAGCATGGGTCTCCTTATATCAGCAATAGATAAAGAAGGGGATAAAAAGTTGACAGTTGGTGAAGTTAGAGTGGTACGAGAATACCTAGAAGCTCTCCCAAATCATTTACCCAGCATGCCATTGAAACGAGAAATGGAGTTTACGATCGATCTCATCCCTGATGCCGTACCTATTTCTAAAACCCCTTACAGAATGACACCGAAAGAGCTACAAGAGTTAAAGGCACAAATAGAAGAATTGCTAGAGAAGGGATTCATCTGACCCAATGTATTACCATGGGGAGCTCCAGTACTTTTTGTCAAAAAGAAATATGGATCGATGAGGATGTGCATCGATTATCAAGAACTGAATAAGATTGCTATTAAGAACAAGTACCCTCTTCCAAGAATCGAGGACTTGTTTAACCAACTTCGAGGTGCAGTGGTATTTTCCAAAGTTGATTTACGATTAGGATACCACCAACTAAGAATCAAGACAGATGATATCTTGAAGACGGCTTTTAGGACTTGATATGGTCACTACGAGTCTATAGTTATGCCATTTGGGTTGACAAATGCTCCAGGGGTATTCATGGACTTGATGAACCGTGTTTTTAATGATTTTCTTGACCGATTTGTCATTGTATTTATTGATGATATCCTAATTTATTCAAGGAGCAAAGAAGAGCATGAGGAACACTTAAGGATTGTCCTAAAAATCTTGAAGGAGGAGAAATTGTACACAAAATTTAAGAAATGTGAATTTTGGTTGGAACGAGTAATGTTCCTCGCAGTATTCTGGGTTTAGCCGGATATTACAGGAGGTCCATCAAAGGATTCTCAAAGATATCTGGACCATTAACACAATTAACTCATAAGGGTGCAAAATTTGACTGGACCAATAAGTGCGAGAGTAGTTTTGGAGAATTGAAGCAGAGATTGGTGAATGCGCCGGTGTTAACCATACCAGAAGGGATAAAAGGTTTTGTAATCTATAGTGACGCGCCTAATCATGGTCTGGGATGTGTCTTGATGCAGCAAGGCAAGGTGATCGCCTCTGCGTTAAGGCAATTAAAGCCATATGAGCAGAATTACCCTACCCACAATTTAGAGCTTGCTGCAGTTGTTTATGCTCTAAAAATTTGGAGGCACTACCTATATGGGGGCAAGTATGACATTTATACTGACCATAAAAGTCTTAAGTACATTTTCAATCAAAAAGAATTGAACATGAAACAAAGGAGATAGCTTGAGTTAGTGAAGGACTACATCTGTGAAATCCATTATCACCCAGGCAAGGCGAATGTGGTAGCAGATGCTTTAAGCAGGAAGACAAAGGGTCAACTGGCGATGTTAACCGCACAAAAGCCTTTATGGAAGAAGTTTGAGAGATTAAGTCTTGAGATTGTCACGACTCCGCTTAATGATTCGGCTCGAATGACAGCATTATCATTCCAACCAACACTTTGTAACAGAATTAAGAGTCATCAAAAGGGCGACCAGTCCTTGGAGATTATTAAGGTTGAGATAGAGGCAAGAAAACGAAAGAACTTCACCATAGCTAACGATAAAGCACTGTACCATGAGGGTCGACTATGTGTACCAAACTTCGAGGAGTTGAAAAAGGAAATATTGGAGGAAGCTCACTTTGCTCCATATTCAGTGCATCCAAGAAGTACCAAAATGTACCGGGATCTAAAAGCGGTGTTTTGGTGAAGAGGAATGAAGAAGGACATAGCAGTGTATGTCGAAAGGTGTTTGATATGCCAACCAGCGAAGGCCAAACACCAACGACCATCAGGATTGCTGCAATCATTAGATGTTCCAGAATGGAAAGGGGAACATGTGACGATGGACTTTGCTGTAGGTTTACCGAAATTTGTAAAAGGTCAAGAGGCTATTTGGGTTATCGTTGACCGATTAACCAAGTCTGATAATTTCTTACCGATTCGCATGACATTTTATGTGGACCAATCTGCACAGTTGTATGTTAAGGAAATAGTGAAGTTACACGGTGTACCAGTTTCAATCATATCGGATAGAGACCCAATGTTCACATCGAACTATATTGAACTTTAGTACAACTTTCCATTCCCAAACAGATGGTCAATCTAAGCGAACGATTCAAACATTAGAGGATATGATTTGATCGTGTGTTTTAGAGTTTGGTGGACATTGGAAGAAGCATCTACCTTTAATTGAGTTTGTTTACAATAACAGTTATCACACCTCTATCAATATGGCACCTTATGAAGCACTGTATGGGAGGAAATGCAGATCACCAATTCATTGGAACGAGGTTGGTGAGCATAAGATTTTTGGGACCAGAGATTATTGAACAGACTGTACAAGCTATTGAGAAGATTTATAACAATATTGAAATGGCTCAAGATAGATAAAAAAGCTATGTAGATAAGAAAAGAAAGGATTTGGAATTTCTTGAAGGTGATAAAGTATTCCTTAAAGTGGCACCTACGAAGGGAATATTACGCTTCGGTAAAAAGGGAAAGTTGCAACCAAGATTCATTGGCCCATTCGAAATCTTGACGTGTGTCGGAAGTGTAGCATATCTGCTAGGCTTATCCCCTGAACTCTTAGTAGTACATAATGTATTTCACGTATCCATGCTCAGAAAGTCCTAGACATGTAGTGGATCATCAATTAATTGAATTACAATGCGGTTTAAGTTATGAAGAACTACCCGTCGAAATTATCAATCAAAAATTTCACACACTTAGAAACAAGGTGATCCCTTTAGTAAAAGTACGATGGCATAATCACTTAGTTGAAGAAGCTACTTGGGAGCAAAAAGTGGAAATGCGAGACAAGTACCCACAACTCTTCGACGAATTCCAAGGTAAATTTCGATCACGAAATTTATTTTAAGGGGAGTAGATTGTAACGTCCCAAATTTTTATTTTTTTTTACTGCGAATTAAATTTAAATTTTATAACTTAAGTGTGCTATTATTAAAGTTAAATGACCTTATCAATTATTAACCAATAGTTGGGGGCCAAGTAGAAGTTATTTTGGAAATTAGATGAAATCATGCATAAAACATGTGTAAATATGCTAATTAGTCTTGATTAGTGATGATTCATCGACCACATGCATTATTCACACCACATTTCAAGCTAAAGAAATTGATTTGACCACATGCACCTAGTTTTAAGTTAAATGTAATTGATTTGACCACACAATTTAAGCTATTGATTTCATCATTTCCATGACAACACACCATTTAAGCATTGACCATGCCTAACATCTAGCCATTTCCCTTCACCTTTCCACATATGTTCAAAAATTTTCACTATAAATAGGAGACAAATCCAACACTGAGTTAACCCGCAATAGTTATTTACACTCTCCCTCTCTCCCTCTATAACTTTGTCTTTCCACTTCCTCTCTTTTTCTTGTCATTTTGATATTAAATATAGTCGTATACTTATACAATCACATGGGAATAATCAACCCCACAAACGGCTCAAGGATCTCTCTTCAACAATAACTCATTTTATCATTTTGGATTGTCTAACAAAAAAAGTGTAAGTTGTACTTTGTGTTTATGGTGGCTAATGTTTATGTATGTAACATTTCTACGGCTATGTTATATTTGGTCCATGTTATGTATAAATTCGGTCTAATTTTCATGTCTCCCTATGCAAGTTATAAATTTTGCATAGAAATTCATATATGAATTGATTATCCACGCACACTTATTGAGAATTTATTCTCACTCCATTATGTCTCTACTTTCAGATAATTGACGATTCAAGGCAGTCGACACGAAAATGGCTTATGGTGGCAATAATTTCAATAATAGAATTATTAAATTGTCAAACTTTCATTTGATTTTAAATGTTTTAAGACATCTCTTGTTCCAAGTTAATTTGTTAAATTCATTACATTTTTTGAATTTTAATTAAGTACTTAAATAATTTATACGATTATGTTGAATATTCTTTCAATTAGTTTAGTTTAGTGACACTCAAACTGTTAAGGATTTGAGTCGTCACACAAGCAGAGGAAGAAAGAGGAAGGAGGATTCCTTTGCTTACCCCTCCCCCAAACGCCACCTCTATTTCCAAGTGAGAAATGATGTTGCACTATACATTTTCATGATTGAAAACATCATACACAGGAAAAAGGATGCAGAAGGGGTATCCTAAACTTGTAAATTTTGAATCAATAATGACATCAAGTAAACCATAACATCAAATAGACAAACCCATTTGATACAGCTAATAAAGAAAAAACAAAATACAAGGAAATCATCAAATCATTTCTTCTTTATTTAACAAATTAAAAATGAAAACAAATACCAATTCCTCAACATTCTCAAGCAGGAGTCTCCTAGATCACTGACTTCAACATTAAGAAACATGATATTCGTGGAAAGATGGTGGGGAACATAAAAAATTCCCAGATCTTTCAAATCTAGCACCACTGAAAGACCAGAATCTTTTCATTCTAATACTCTTTTCCATGTTCCAACTTAACCATTGCACTTGAAATCCACTTTAAAAGGCCATTGTTTTCCTCTTTCAGTGTCCTTTACCACGTGACAATTGTCGCCTCTTTAGAAAAACTTGAATTTGCCACCATGAGATTCTGGTTTGCACCTAATTCATACTCTCTCCACATTCAAAATTGTTCAAAAGATTAAGCGCCCCTGCAACCCCCAATGAAGAAGGCAACAAGCTTTGGACATAAAACTGTTCATGATAACCTAGAATGCTACAAAGAAACTTCTCCATGGTACATTAGCTAACAGCCAAGGCGTGAAAGGGAAAAATATAGCTCAAGACACTTTTAACAAGGAGGCTTTCATCTATTGCATTACACTAGTATTAAGAAGTATATTAGCAGCTGAAATACTGCTCTTGATGTGAGATCCTGTTTTATCATATCTTTAATCCTTTATTTAGCAATAGTTGTTTTGCAAGCACATTACATTGCAAAGCATTGGTGTCTTTTAGCCCATAGAAAGATATATCTTCATGTCCATTTAATTTCGAGACCAATTCTGATTTGTGATGAAATGGATTACAATATAAAACAAAAATTTAGCCAAATTAATAGTAATTGCTTGACTTACCTTGAAAAGTTGGTGGCAGAGAACCCAGTGTTAGTTCTTCAAATTCAACAGATTCAATTTTATATTTTGGAATTTGCTCAGCAATAATAGGCTTCGCAATATTTTTTGCTGTCTTGCAAATTGCCTGTGCGGAAATGTTTTAAGCATTAGAATTTGATGCAGAAAGGTGAGAAATGTAAGTCATAAATAAAGTTAAAAAATACAAAAGAAGCAACATACAAAAACATTACCTTGTCCAAGTAAGGCCACATAAGCTCAAGGAACTTGTTAAGCCAGTCAATCTTCACTCCAGCAGATAAAGCAAGGTAATAAACATTAACGGCAATAGAGAAGAAGAAAAGAATGCAATATAAGTGATTATATAACAAAATACATACACGATCATAATCAGGATTTTTCACCCACGGGGGTATTTCAGGAAGCAATTGCTGCAAACTTTGAGAGTCTTGCTCAGCCAAAGGACGGATAACAGGATCCTGATCAAGTGAACAGTTAGAAAACCTTACACAAGATTTCTGTTGTATACCAACTTATCGAGATTTGCTCTCTTCCTTACATGATTATTCCATTAATAAACAACTAAGGGATTCCAAAACTAAGAAGATGAAAGATCAGAAAGTTCATGTACCACATCTTTATAGCTTTCTAAGAGAGGCCCTTAAAAAGGAACATTCTACAAGAAAAGAATTTCTACGTGAAATAGTAAAACATTTCCAAAGACTGATTAAATCAGTCTTGTCAACTAAACGAGAAGCATGGCCGAATATGATAGGCTCTGTTTAGCCCGTTGGGTAAAGCATTGTGTTTTTCCTGACGAAACGAGATGATTTTTTGTATTCAATTTCCTGTAACAAGGCTCATCATCTCTGGTTTCTTTAAATAATCAGAAGACAAGATACACCTGATGTCATTATCGAGTGATGCAGCTCACAGATTGTATGATCCTTCATTTATAACTGTTCTCAATTCTCACTAATTGGAAAAACAATTGAAGAAATAAATGGAAAGCTCCTAGCCATTACTGCAGTGTGAAAAAGGCAATAACTCAGAAAATGCTATAAATAGTCATTTCACCATTCATTATCATTTGAGCTATTTCAACCAATGACACATCAGACAAGGTAGATAGCTAGGCACTTGTGCTTCTACAGAAACACTATATAAATGGCACAATGCCAAGTCAATCACTCCTCTTTTCTGTGGCTCCTCCAATGAATTTAAAACAAATGTATATGACTGCGACCAATTACGAAGAATCAAGTGTACATAGAAATTAACAATGAAGAAGTTCCACTTCATTTTCCCTTTCCCCTTGTATATTTGAATATTCGCACTAAAATTTTGAACGTAGTCCCAAAAAACCTATCCAGCGGGACATGATTCTTGTATTAGACCAATTTACTAACTTATTACAGGGTAATTAAATTCCTGAAACTGCTACGATCTTAAACCAATTTTACTTTCTTATCCATTTTAGGCATAATTAACCAACTGCAGCCTTCAACAAATAGAAAATGAAATGAATTCTAAAGAAAACAGAAATATATGCATTATACATATGATACATCATGCATATACATAGTAATGACCTAAAAATCGCGTTCCTGTTTGTGTGAGGGACAGAAAGATCACCTTAACATCGCTGGGCTGGAAATAGATGAAAAGGTAGTAACCAATCACCAGCCCCGTTGAAATCCCAGCTCCAAATCCACAGAAACCCAGTATAGTACTAAAAAAACCCATCTCCCAAAACTACCCCCCTTCGAAATTTACCAGATAAATTCAATCAACGACAACCCTTCACAGAAACACAAAAATTCTCAACGCTCAACTGAATTCAATCAAAAATCTTCCCGGAAACCCACAGTTAAACTCCAGCCATCAGAGACCGACGTAAGCCACGCCAAGTAAATAAAAACGAGATTTCTTTCGATTAATCGTCAGAAATGACGTTTTGTTCTTCAACCACGTGCCCTTTAATGTCATTTTAGTTGCACATCACGTAGACACGTACCCCATGTGCGAGAATCGAGAAAATGTATAAAGTGGGCAACGTCCTTTTCACAAAAACACGTATATTTAGATTTTGGGCCCATATTGGGGGCCCAAATTAAGAACAAATTTTAAATACTAAATAGCTAAGGTAACGGATTGATTGGTACTTTTGGAAGTTGGTTGGGATTGTAAACAAATTTTAAATTTGAAAAATAAAAAATAATTTTTTTTTTTTTTTTTTTTTTTTTTTTTAAAAAATAATTTTTTTTTTTTTTTTTTTTTTTAAAAAATAATTTTTTTTTTTTTTTTTTTTTTTAAAAAATAATTTTTTTTTTTTTTTTTTTTTTTAAAAAATAATTTTTTTTTTTTTTTTTTTTTTTAAAAAATAATTTTTTTTTTTTTTTTTTTTTTTAAAAAATAATTTTTTTTTTTTTTTTTTTTTTTAAAAAATAATTTTTTTTTTTTTTTTTTTTTTTAAAAAATAATTTTTTTTTTTTTTTTTTTTTTTAAAAAATAATTTTTTTTTTTTTTTTTTTTTTTTTTGTCCGGGTACCCTGTGGAGTGGGATAATGCAAGATGGATAGTGTTAAAACCATCAAACTCAATTGATGAGGAACAATAGCAAGGAAATATGAATCAGCAGGAGAAAAATCATAGCATGGAAAATACACTCATGAATGATGACAGGATGAGTGAATTGTGCAGGTGGATCAATTAGGAGCATTTTCTTTTAGAATATTCTTTTCGTTAAATTGGGTAACAAATTAGATTTATTTGTATAGTTAGTGGAATAATTTTTTTTTCCTTCTAGACTCTTCTAAGTGACTGTATATATATGTGGCTGTACCAACTCAATTGACATACAAGTTTTATGAGTGGAATCACTCTTCCTCTAATTCTCTACCTCTATATTATTCTTGCTTCTTATTTCATTTTGTTATATGGTATCATAGCCATAGATATGGATGATGCCTATAGTACTACAATAGACTTAACAAATCCAAATGCAAATTCAAACCCAAATACTAATCTAAATAACACAAATCCATTAGCAAGCAATCTTGCAATTCCAAAATCCTAGTGAAACTTGCAGTTCCTATTACATTGGTGGAAACGACAGCTCAGGAGCAATACTGGTAACCCATGTCCTTGATAGCACTAACTACTATGCCTGCGCAAGATCTATCATGAGAGCCCTTCGAATAAAAAACAAACTTAGCTTCATCGATGGAAGCCTATCTAAACCAACAAATCCTAGTAGCTTCTTGATGGAACACTGGCTCCGGTGCAATGACATAGTGATAGCCTGGTTGCAGAACACCATGTCCATTGACGTCAATTCCTGCACATAATATGTAGACACAGCTCGTGAACTTTGGTTGGACCGGGAACATTAACTGGGACAACAAAATACACCAGATGTTTATGAAATGAAACAAGCGATTGCTACCTTGATTCAAAGTCGGGATATGGTGAGTGTTTATTTCTCCAAATACAAGACTCTCCTTAATGAATTATGAATCAATTCCAAATTGTACTTGTGGAGGATTGAAATCAGTTATTGAAAACCAGCAAAGGAACTGGGTAATGAGATTTCTAATGGGATTAAATGATTCATATAAGGCACTCAATTCTTAGATTCTTCTAATTAAGCCCTTTCCTACTCTTAATGAAGTGTATTCTATAATCCAATAAAAAGAAAAAAGGAGACAAATTTTTCATACATGATTCAATGGCACTAGCAGGCAATGGGATGTTCAAGAATGCAAGCAAACGGAATGGAAAAACACAAAAAATATTATTGTACCTTCTACAAGGTACCTGGGCATTCGTTGGAAAGATGCTTTAAGGCTAATCCCGACAAACCAACTTGTAGCTAGAGTTGGATACAGTCCGGTTCGGTTCCAACAAGAACCAAATCGGACCTAAAATTTTTGGGTATTTAGTAAATAGAACTGATCTAATCTAAATTTAATTATGGAACCGTTTGAGTTCGGTTCCATTCGATTCAGTTCAATTTGATTCCCAGATTCCATATTATAATTAAATTTTTTAATATTTACTAAGTTACATTAATTCAACTAATGATATGTTCAATTTTAACTCTTACAAAATAATATAGTCCAATCTTATATGTCTTTTGCATCCATCTTTGCTGAATTCTTTATAGAATTAATTGTTAAAATCATAGAAATAGGAAGATAGCGAGCTCAAAATAATTAAGAAAGGTGTTGTCGAGTTTCAATTTGTTTCTACAGAGCGATAGAAACGGCACTACGATAGAATAATAGATTTGGATAAAACTTATGTCAATTTGATTAAGTCGGCTCTAAATTGAAGATTAGAAATAGAAAAATCATATTTTTGGATTTGAGCTAAATTAACTAGTTAGCAAATTTATTCAGAAAAATAAAATAATTTGACTTATTTAAAATTAATTAATTAAAAAAATAGGGAGATTAAATTCTTATTCGATTCTTAATCTAGAATCGAGAACCGAATCAAATCAGTCGGTTCTCGATTCAGATACCCATTTGGGTATTTAACTTAAGAAGAACTGCTCAATTTGGTTTAGTTCGGGTTTGGTTCGGTTTGATTCGAAAGTTTTGTCTAACCCTACTTGTAGCCATTGTCATATGCCAGGACATTCTATAGACAAATGTTTTAAAATCCATTGGTATCCTCTTGGACACAAATTGCATAGAAAAAGGAAACTCATCTACAAATCAAGTATCCTTGCAGGGACAAGAGGATGCCAATGGTAGTAACCATGTGGGGTTTACTCAAGAGCAGCATGTGCAGCTTCTGGCCCTACTTAAGCCATAAAACATCCAATGCCTCACTACTTAAACTCCTGCAGACACGCAGATCCTAAAACTTTCTGGTATCTCCCTTTATTCCTTTGCCTGTGGCAATAAATCCCACAAAACTTCTACTACACCTTAGATAATAGATATAGAAGCAACAGATCATATGATCTACTCGACTTTATTCTTTAACTCCATTCAAGCGGAAATCTCCCAATCAGCTTCTCTTCCCAATGTTGATCTGGTTAAGGTCACACACATAGGGACTATACAGGTCATAGAAGAACCTGATCCTACACTGTGTGCTTTGTGTTCCAACCTTATCATTTAACTTAATTTCTGCAAGGAAGTTAACACAATCATCACAATGTTGCCTGATGTTTTTTTCTTGAAAAAATGCTTCGTATAGGACCTTTTGACTTGGAAAACGACTGGAATGGATGAAGTGAAGCAAGGTCTATATCACCTGCTGCTGTGTCAAGTTCTTCCTTCAGCTTTAACAGAAGTCCTTTTCCTTTCTTCAAATAAGACCTCAATGGCAGCTGCTACCTCTTGCAAGATCAACAACTTTGATCTCTGGCACTATAGGCTGAGACATCCATCTCGTTCTAAACTAGATTTGATAGATGTTAATTATGTTCCTAGACCAACTAATGACCCCTATCCTGTATGTTCTATGGCAAAAATGCACAAACCTCCATTCCATGTCAGTCACCACAAGTCTAAAAACAATTTTAATCTCATACATTGTGATATCTGGGGCCCTTATAGTGAGACAGGCTATGATGGATCCAAATATTTTCTTTCCATAGTTGATGATTTTAGTAGATGCACTTAGGTTTATATGTTAAAAAAACAAATCAGATGCTACTATTGCCTTGCAAGGTTTTTGTACCTTAATAAACAACCAATTTAAAACACACATAAAAATCATTAGGATTGATAATGGAGGTAAGTTTGGAATGGAAGACTATTACCACAAAAGGGACATCATACACCAAAAGACTTGCATTGAAACACCACAACAAAACGCTATTGTTGAAAGAAAACACCAGCACATCTTCGATGTTGCAAGAGCCTTAAAATTCCAAAGTGACATTCCAATGAGGTATTGGAATGATTGCATCCTTAGTGCTGTGTACCTCATAAATAGAACACCTACACAGCTATTAAACAAAAAACTCATTTTGAAATCACTTTTAAACATAAACCAAACTATGCACACCTTAAAGTCTTTAGATGTCTTGCTTTTGTCTCAACCTTAGCCAATCACAAGAGCAAATTTGATCCAAGAGCCAGAAAATACGTGTTTTTAGGTTATGCTTTTGGAATAAAGGGATACAAATTACTTGATTTGAGACCAAGATGGTGTTTATATCTAGAAATGTGGTTTTTTTATAAGGATAATTTTCCTTACAAAAACAAAACATCTGATCAAGCAACAAGAATATTACAACCAGATTTTGTTAACATAAATTTTCATTCTCATCTTCCACCTGCAACCACACTTAGTGAGATAAAGATAAAAGAACCAAAGACTAATCATATAGATCTTTTTCCTCCAGACCATATTGATTCTCCGCCAGTTCATGAGTCAAACACCCATTCCTCAAGATCGTGTCAAGAACAAGAATCATCTCATAGTACCATAGAAAGCTATCAATTACCCCACAGGTCTTCAAGAGAAAAGAAAACTCCTATTTATCTGGAGGACTACATCTGTTAGCAAGCTTCACTTTCTCTATCACAGAAGTTGGATGAGTAGAAGGACCTTACTACTTTAGGCAGTGCCTTCCCTCTTAATGTTACTTTATCATATCATAGACTCTCTAATAAACACAAAGTTTTTGTTATATTCATATCTTCACACATTGAACCGAGCATATACCAAGAAGCCCTCACCTTACTTGATTGGTGTAAAGCTATGAATGCTAAAATTGCTACCCTTGAGATGAATAACACTTGGACCATAATAGATCTTTCACCTAGTAAGAAAGCTATTGGATGCAAGTGGGTGTATAAAGTAAAATATAAGGCAGTTGGGAGTGTGAAAAGGTACAAAGCCAGGCTTGTGGCAAAGGGGTATACACAACAAAAAGGGTTGGATAATCATAAGACATTCTCACCTATAGTTAAAATGGTAACTATTAGAACTTTGCTTGCAATAGCATCAGTGAAGG